TTACTATGTTGTTATGTCCTCTTTTATCTTAATCTCCTTCTTTCTTTTAATTTTTTTTAATATAAAATGCATAAACAACATACTGTAATTTGTGGGATGCAACGAAAGCGGTCTTAAGAGGGAAATACATAGCAATAAATTGTCAAATCAGGAAAACAGAATGAGCACAAAGAAACAACCTAATGCTTCATCTCAAGCTTCTAGAAAAAGAAGAACAAGTTAAACCCAAAGCTCATGGAAGAGAGGAAATTGTAAAGAGTAGAGCAGAAATCAGTGCAATTGAAACTACAGAAGAATACAAAGAATTAATGAACCAAAAACCTGCTTTTTTGAGAGAATAAACAAAATTGACAAACCTGTAGCTAACCTTATAATAGAAAAGAAAAAAACCCAAATTCATGCAACAAGGACTGAAAAGGGGGGAAATTACTACACATCCCATGGAAATTCAAAAGACCATACATACCTACTTTGAAAATCTTGACTCACAGAGAGTGGAAAACACAGAGGAAATGGACAGATTTCTAGAAACATATGAACTACCAAAGCTCAACCAAGAAGATATAACAATTTTGAATATCCCAATATCAGCTATTGAAATTGAAAACATAATTAAAAATGTACCAACAAAGAAAAGCCCAGGTCCTGATGGATTCACAACTGAATTCTACAAGAAATTTAGAAAAGATTTGATGTCAATACTCCTTAAACTCTTCAGTGAAATTGAAAAGGAAGCAATCCTCCCTAAATAATTCCTGAAGGCAAGTATTACTCTCATACCAAACCAGAGAAAGACCCAGCCAAAAAGGAGAACTATAGGCCAATCTCACTAATGAACATTGATGCAAAGATTCTCAATAAAATACTAGCAAATAGAATGCAGCAAATCATCAAGAAGATTATACATCATGACCAAGTGGGATTCATTCCAGAAATGCAGGGATGGTTTAACATACACAAATCAATAAATGTAATACACCACATCAACAGAGCTAAAAACAAAAACCACATGGTCATCTCAATAGATGCAGAAAAAGATGAAGATGTTGATAAAGTCCAACACCTGTGCATGATAAAAACCCTTCAGGAACTCGGAATACATGGTGTCTACCTCAATATTATAAAGGCCATCTATGACAAACCAACAGCCGACATTATACTAAATGGACAAAAACAAAGCTTTCACTTTAAAATCAGGAGCAATACAAGGATGTCCACTATCACCACTCTTATTCAATATAGTTCTGGAAACACTAGCCAGAGCAATCAGACAAGAGAAAGAAATAAAAGGAATAAAGATAGGAAAGGAAGAAGTTGAATTATCACTATTTGCAGATGACATTATACTCTATATAGAAGACCCAAAGACTCCATTAAAAGATTACTAGAGGTAAAAAAAAATTCAGCAGTGTAGCTGGATACAACGTCAATGCTCAAAAATCAGTAACATTCCTGTACACAAAAACTCACCAAGAGAGAAAATATGGAAATATTGCCCTTCACAATAGCATCTAAAAAAATGAAATACTTAGGAATCAACCTAACTAAGAATGTCAAAGACCTATATGCTGAAAATTATGCTACACTGAAAAAGGAGATTGAAGAGAATATTAGAAAATGGAAGGATATTCCTTGCTCTTGACTAGGAAGAACCAACATTGTGAAAATGGCCACAGTCCCAAAACTGTTATACAGATTTAATGCAACCCCAGTCAAAATACCATTAACATACCTCACAAATCTAGAGAAAACACTCCTAAAATTCATTTGGAAACAGAAGAAACCTACAATAGCAAAGGCAATTCTGGGCAACAAAGGCAAGGCAGGAGGCATCTCAATTTCTGACTTTGAACTATACTACAAAACCACAGTGATAAAATCAGCATGGTACTGGCAGAGAACTAGATCTGAGGATCAATGGAACAGATTAGAAGATGCAAGCACAACTACAAAGACACTCAGCCACCTGATATTTGAGTAAAGGAGCTAAACAAAGGAAGATAGCCTCTTTAATAAATGGTGTTGGAAAAATTGGCTCTCCACATGCCAAAGACCGAAACTAGATGCCTATTACCATGCCTATTACCATGCACAAAACTAAAGTGTAAATGGATCAAGGAGCTAAATATTAAAATAGAAACACTAAATCTATAGGAAGACAAGGTAGGCAGAAACCTTGGACACGTAGAGGTAGGCAGAGAATTCATGAACAAAACGCAGTCTGCACGGGAAACACTTCAAAGAATCAACAACTGAGATCTCATATTATTGAAAAGTTTCTGCACTTCAAAAGAAATCACCAACAAAGTAAAAGAAAATCCACACAATGTGAAAGAATTTTAGCCAGCAACCCCTCAGAAAAAGGACTTACATCAAGAACATATAAAGGAATGAAAAACATCAAGCCCCTTAAATTCAAAGATCCTCTCCAAAAATGGGCATCTGAGATGAAAACACAGTTCTCAGATGTAGATATACAAATGGCAAATAAATACATGTTCACCATCACTGGTCATTCGAGAAATGCAAATTGAAAAAGCATTGAGATTTTATCTCACTCCAGAAAGAATGGCTGCCATCAAGAAATCAACTGATAACAAATGTTGGTGAGGATGCAGGGAAAAAGGACACTGCTCCACTGTTGGTGGGAGTGTAGACTGTGCAACCGTTATGGAAGTCAGTATGGAGAATTCTCAGAAGACTAGGATTGGAGGTTTCATTCAATCCAGTTATTCCTGTCCTGCGGATTTTCCCAGAAAAACTGAAAAGGTCATATCACAGCGATATATGCGCACCCATGTTCATAGCAGCACAATGTGTAATAGCTAAATCTTGGAAACAACCAAAATGCCCACCAATCGCAGAGTGGATAAAACAGGTGTGGTACTTTTATACAATAGAATATTACTCAGCTATATAAAGGTTGATCATGAGGCCTTCATAGGCAAATGGAGACAACTATTCTTATTAGTGAAAGAAATAATCATATTTATAAAAATCACATTGTGTCTCTAGTGTAAAACGTAATAAGAACTGTAAGAGTAATAAAATCCAAAATGTGTAATTGCTGTTGTAAAAAAGAGAGGAAAAGAAAGTGCTCTAAAAGATATAACTGCATGTATGTTTAAGTGTGTAGGATTGATAACCATGTTACTAGGTTTTTGTTGGATCGTTGAAAAGAACCGTTTGCAGTCTCGCTGTTTGAATGTCTATTTTGTATGCTTCACTTTTGTAACTTGAACAACTATTTCCAAGAGGACAATATGGCAGGTTGTCCCCAGAGACCCTGAGGTGGAGTTGTTCTGTGACTTTGGATCCAGGAGCAGCTCAGTCTCAGCCTCCTTACGTGGCTGCTGGCAATGCCACCATAGTTGCCGTGCAGAGGGCTCACTGTCACACAGAACCCCATACTGCATTCCATGCTGATAATAACGGGGGGCTTTTCCTGGGGTGCGCAGCCCTAGGCGGCTTTGGTCTTTTCATGGTTGTCTTCTGTTTCTCCACAGTTAGTTTCCTGATCCCGAGAGCTGGGCTCCTCTCTGCTGTCACCTTGCTAAGCATTAGGGTTACCAGGTGTCTCAATGCCACATCCAAGGAGGCTTCACCAACTTCCACCATGAAATTTTATTAAGGGTTTGGATTAAAGTTGTGTCTCTCCCTTTAGATGCTGAATTCAGAATGTGATTGTGCTTGGAGATGGTCTTTAATAAGGTGATTAATTTAGACTGAAGTCTCAGCGGTGGGTTCTACCCCAACAGGACTTGTAGGAAAAAGGAATTAGGACCCGGCAGAGTGATGATGACACGAAGACTCCAGGAGAAGCACAGGACCTCAAAAGAAACCAACCCTGTCCACACTTCGACTTCAAATTACGAAGAAACGAATCCCATGTTGTTTCGATCACTGAACCTGCGATGCATTGTTGTGGCAGCCTTGTAAACCAGTGCAGCAGTGGCATAAAGGCCATTCTCTGTTTTTATGTAATAAATATGTAAACATGTCTCAGAGGAGCACAGTACAAGTGCTCAGTACCTACAGGAGGCCAGTGGGTGCTGTCTGTACAGAGGCAGGCACAGCAGATGTGAAGGGCAGGTCTAAGGGACAGAGCTTGAGGGACACACGCAGAAGGGCCGTCCCTCCCCGAGCTCGGGTTCAGACCTCTTGGCGGAGGCTTTGGTTCTGGTCACTGTTAGAGGGACCCTGGAGGGGCAGTTCCCGGCCTGGCTGGCAGGGAGACAGCACTGCGGGAGGCTGAGGTAGAAGGAAGCCTCCCCCTGGCATGAGGAGGCCAGGGAAGCCACCCTGGGAAGGCCAGGGGAGCTTGGGGAGGGAGGCTGCCCTGGGCAGGGCGCTGACTGCTGGTGTCTGCACCTGGAATCCCAGGAGAGGGAGCCCTGGGCCCAGGAGGAAAGGCCTCGCTCTTATGGTGTGTCCTCAGTGTCCTTCACCGTGGTGTGGCGTTGGCAGGGGAGGTGTGTTCGGGGCTCCTGGAGCTTTGAGCTTGGAGCCCAAAGGAGGGCATAAAGGGTGGATCTGAGCAGGGAAGCACACAGATCAGCACCCACTGTCCCCAGAGCTTTCTCCTCGCTGGTGCCATCCCTGTCCACCACCAAAGGGCAGCAGCACTTTTGCATGGTGGACGCTGTGGAGGAATACAAGTGATACTTACGGGGGCTGGGGACTTGTTGCTTTGAACACATCGTCACCTTAGGAAGTGGGTTATTCTGGAAAATGAAGGAATTTTTTTCCATAGAGAAGGAAGGTGCAGATGCGTGAGCTTTGGACACTAATTAGATTCAGGTAAATTCCCAGGAGTAAATACAATCAGTTTCCCATTGAACAAACTTGGCAAGTGATGCCTTAGTGGCTCACAGGATTTTCTCTATGCATACAGGAGTAACTAGCGCACTCTTTTGGATGACCCACGTGCTGTACAGTTTAGTTGAGTGAATCGTGTTTAGTGCTAGATGCTAAAGGTTTCATTTTTTTTATATTTACAGGATAAACCAGTCAGCAAAGAGAAATGCAAGGCACCAGGAAAGTCCCGACCACAGTTGTCCATGGTAATTTACCACGTATCATCACTTGTGTTGCTTTTATAATAATATTGTTTACTAATTTTGCAGTTCAATAATTTGAAAATATGTTGCTGGTTTTCTGATGTTAAATTCTGTGTTTCCTTTGATTCTGTTCTGATGGAGATGTTCTTTGAGGCACATATCTTAGGAAACATCTGGATTAATAACTTCCCTGTTTCTAGAATCCCCTGGGATGTGCAGGGTTCGTGTGTATTAGGAGTGCAAGGCCTGTCAGGGTGGTGGGGAGGGGAATGTGAGTGTCCCCGACAGGCAGCGAGGGCCTGGGTGGCAGCTTTGTTGCCAGGCTCCGTGACATTCCAGCAGTTGCTGAGCCTGAGATTCTCGATAGGAAAGTCAGAGGATCTGATGATCTTGAAGCGGGTGGCTTTCCTAGTTCTAAACTGTGTACTTCCCGCAAGTGGGCAAAATGCCTTTCGTGAAGAGCACTTACCTCGTGGTTTTTGAGAATATTGAAGAAGCTCCTTGATGTAAACTCTTTAGAACAAAATAAAATTAACATAAAGAACAATTGAAACTAATGTAAAGAACAATATGAAACTAATGTAAAAGTAATATAAGGCATTATTAACAAGATAACTTGTATTCGTGTGTTTCGTATTGTCTTCAGAGCCTGGTGTGTGCTCTGCACATCTCATTCCAGTGGAGCGCAGTGTAAGTGCTAGGTCCCTGCTGGAGGCCGGCGGGTGCTTTACCCTAGAAGAGATTTCTAGGCACGTTTATTAATTTTTGTTTTTATTTTTGATAAATTTTGGTTCTTTAAATTGTTACCTGAAGTTAAGAAAGACCGTGTAAACTTTTTGATCCTCATTTTGCAGAAAGGACCAGATTTTATCTGGGAGCTTTGGAGGGCGGGTGGTGGCCTTGAGGAGGTGACTAACACAGGGCCTCGAAGTCTCAGACACTGCAGGGCCTCTCCCTTGCAGCGGGGGTCAGTGGTCCCCTATGGGGGTACACTGCGGGGTGCACCCTGCCTCCGAGGCCAGACGTTGAGGGGGGCAGGGGGCAGCTCTTAACTTCTCTGGGCAGCGCGAATCACTCAGCTGGCAACAGAGGAACAAGAGAGTCTGAGATGGAAAAGCTTGGAGCTCACTGAGGGGGGCTTTGAGGACCAAGATGAAGATGGGGCTCCTCTGAGTGCTCCTCACCCTCAGTGCTTGGGAGTGGTGTGCTCAGCGCTGTGCTGCGGAGACCTCCGGCACCATCCGGAAATGCGTCTCCCATTGTCTGGGTGATTTCAAGAGTCTGCTGGTTCCCTTGTTCCTCCTGTATGCTGTTCACTGCTGCTGGGACCATTTATACAGAGTACACTGTGTGTCCCTGCACGATGCATAGGGTAACAACATAATTTATCACCAAGAATGACGTGTCATCAACAGCAAAGGATACTTACGCTGGGGCAGTAAGTGTCAACCATGGCCATGTCCAGCAAGCCGGGATTTAAGGTCACTGCAAGAGGGACTGCGGTGGATGTGTATTGCTGGCCAGACCAGACCAGCCCCAAAGCCTGTGTCCTCTGGGACATAGTAGCAGCTTTCCATCCAGCTCCACGTCCCCCCTTGCCCTTAATCCATGTCCCCACCAAGACATGACTCCAGAGACCTCTCACCACCTCCTCTCACTGGCATCCCTCTGCTCCTCCCCTTTCCCCTGCTTGGCTTTTCTCCGCTGTACACATTACTTCCCGATGTCACATGGTGTATCTGTTCTGAAATGGCCCTGTGACCTCCAGAACGTAGCCTCTGTGATGGGAGGGATTAGGCCTGACTGTGGCTGAAGACCCAGGACGTGGCAGGAGGGCAGTACCTCCTCGAGGAAGGAAAGGATGAATTCGGCCGAGCTGGTCCGGGTCCCCTCGTGGTCCATCCCAGCGTCTCCCTCAAGCCTGCCGTTCTCTCAGAGCCCCCGTTTCTGGGGGCTCCCTCTGCCTTCAGTAGCTTGTTGTTGCCCCGCTCTGTGGAGACCAGCCACCCTGCAGAGCCCAGCCCCTCTCCTTTCTCCTTCAGTAGCATTCACGGGACTGTGCACTTCCTGCAGGTGGAAGAACACCTTTCCTTCTCCGTGCCCCGGGCACCAAAGCGGTGGAATAGAACTCACAGGGTGGTGTTTAAGTTCATTAGTGTAAACTTCTTAAGACAATATCAAATACACTCAAATTCATATAAAGAATTATTAATGAGATAACTTGTAATCTCTGTGTTTTGCACTGTCTTCAAAATCTAGTGTGTATTCTGCATCCTCATCTCAGAGGAGCACAGTACAAGTGCTCCGTGCCTACAGGAGGCTGATGGGTGCTGTCTGGACAGCACAGCTGCGGTACAGAGGCAGGGACAGCAGGTGTGAAGGACAAGCAAGGGACAGAGCCAAGGGACACATGCAGAAGGGCTGTCCTTCCCCGAGCTTGGGCTCAGACCGCCTGGAAGAGGCTTTGGCTCTGGTCACTGTTAGAGGGACCATGGAGGGGCAGTTCCTGGCCTGGCTGGCAGGAGGACAGCACTGCGGGAGGCTGAGGTGGAAGGAAGCCTCCCCCTGGCATGAGGAGGCCAGGGAAGCCACCCTGGGAAGGCCAGGGGAGCTTGGGGAGGGAGGCTGCCCCATCAGGGCGCTGACTGCTGGTGTCTGCACCAGGAATCCCAGGAGAGGAAGCCCTGGGCCCAGGAGGAAAGGCCTCGCTCTCATGGTGTGTCCTCAGTGTCCTTCACCGTGGTGTGGCGTTGGCAGGGGAGGTGTGTTCGGGGCTCCTGGAGCTTTGAGCTTGGAGCCCAAAGGAGGGCAGAAGGGTGGATCTGAGCAGGGGGGCAGCGCTCCCACCATCTGCTGCACAGATCAGCACACTGTGTTACCACTGTCGCCAGAGCTTTCTCCTCGCTGGGTGCCATCCCTGTCCACCACCAAGGGGCAGCAGCACTTTTGCATGGCAGATGCTGCTGAGGAATACAAGTGATACTTACGGGGGTTGGGGACTTGTTGCTTTGAACACATTGTCACCTTAGGAAGTGGGTTTTTCTGGTGTTTCGGTAAGAATGGACATGACATTTTAGCAATACAGAAGGGAAGTAAAACAGAGTGAGCTCTGAACAGTAAGTTCAGATAAATCCTTCAAAGTTGGGATAGATGAAAAGCTTTGTATACTTTCTAAAGCTTTTGACAATTTTTTCTTTATTATCTTGCTCTAAACAAAAGAATTCTAAGACAAACATTGAGCACATTAAAAATAGTAGAATGTATGTTTGGACCAGTGGGATAATACATGCTTGACTTTTTTAGTAAAGTGTAAAATTTGGTTGAGTGAATCGATTTTGGCATTAAGAGATTAAACAAGTTTTTCTTCCTCATTTTTTATGCAGGATAAATCCAAGGACAAATCCAAGGTATCAGGAAGAGTTTTGCCACAGTTGTCTATGGTAACTTACTATACATTCTTAATAAATTTTTGCCATTTAAAAAATGTTAAACTTACTATACATTCTTAATAAATTTTTGCCATTTAAAAAATGTTAGTTCTCAAACCTGAAAATCAATAATCAAATTTCTCATTTCTCATTTTGAATTTTGTGTTCTAATTTGCTTTTTTTCTGATAAAAAATTCTCAAGGTATATCTCTTAAGAAAGATACCTTAATAAAGTTACTGTATCAGTGGTGGTGAATCTGTGGCACAGGTACTTCTGTGGGCTATTTATTATTGAAAACTTTAAAAGAGTCACCATCATTGAACTATAATTTTACTATGCTGTTAGGATTTATATCTGGATAAACCCACTCCCCAAAGCTCATAAGCAGAGCTTTTTAAGGGTAATTGCATCATAGGCATCCTATAATTTAAGGTGGGGCACTGGGGAGTTGACTCTGGTTGGAAGAGGCTACCCACTGGGGGTGTGACCCACTCGGAGTGTGACCCGGAAGGGTTTGTCTCCCTCTCTTCCCTTCTCTGCTCTCTCTGCTTCTGACCACCATGATGTGAGCAGGTCTCTTCCACTCAGGCCCTCCCGCCATGCTTTCCTGCCTTGGAGCTGGCCAACTGTAGACTAAAGACATGCACCAAAGTAAACCTCTCCTCCTTTAAACTGTGGGTGCTGGGTGTTGTGTTTCAGTAACGTGAGAGTGACAAAGATGCATGCGCAGAATACGTGAGTGTTATGAATGAAAGATTTGCCAAGGTGGGCCAGTAGGAGAAGCATGAGTGTTGGAGCCAGGAAGTGAGAGCTTGGGTTAAAGCCCTGTCCCTTTGGCTCTGTGATGTTTTGGAAGTCATTTATTCCTCAGATCCTCAGTTCCTGGGACTGAAAATGAGAGGATCTGTTGATGTCAGCAGAATTGGCTTTTCCAGTGCTAAAAGTCTGTGCTTGAGAAGATTTTTAGATGTTGATATCCTTATTCATTATTTTGAGTCCACATTATCAATATTCTGTGGAATAGGCAGTTCATGGGCATTTTCAGTTGATAAAATGCTGGATGAGTTAGATTTTACTGCAATAAAATTTACTGTCTAGTAATTATGTTGGCTTTTTAAAGCCATTCAGTTACCCTCTTATGACTTTAGGTGTAAGCGTAAGTGGAGTTTCAGTGTAATCACTGTATTTTGGAATTATGATAAAACATACACAATATAAAATTTACCATCTGTCTTGGTTACTCTTCTCTCATTATTGAGACAAAACACCCGACACCCAAGATGAAGGAAGGAAAGGTTTATTTAGCTCACAGTTTGTGGAGGTTTCAGCCTGCCATCAGCTGGCTCCAAGGCAGGGTGGCCTGGCACAGGGGCAGCACTTCAAGGTGCCAGAAGACAGCAAAGCAGCAGGAGCAAAAAAAGGGAGAGTACAAGCCTCTTTTTCTCTCTTATATTCTACACAGGCCACCCCCAACCCAGATGGGGGAACCACGCACAAAATCTCTGTGCCCTCCTCTTGCACAGGATGAGGATGTTTACAAAGGAATGAACGATCCTGGCTCCCTGCTGAGCTGCTTAGTTAAACTTCTAAACTTCTCAAGTTGACACCATGTATCAACCATAACACCATCTTAATTGTTGCTTTAGGTGTACAGTTCTGTAATTCACATTGTTGTCAGACCATCCCTCTCATCCATTCCAGAACGCTCTTCATCTTCCCAAATAGATCCTCTGCCCCATTCAATGATAACTTGCCATCTCCCCCCTCTTTGGTCGCTTGCAAACCGTTGTCCTACTGTTTTTCCTCTACCTGTTTGACCACCTAGACATGTCGTATAAGGGAGTCAAGCGACCTTTGTCCTTCTCATCTGGCTTATTTCTCTTAGTATAATCTTTATGATTTGTCTGTTGTTTGTTTTGAGAGATGTTTTTAAGAGCTAAACTCAAATTACCATATTGACTTTGTATTATTTCATACAGAAAAACTTAAAATGATCATTTTCATGTAGAATACTGGAGTTAATATTGTTATGTGAATGATTTTGAGCATTTAAAAATACACATTTTCAGTAAAAATAAGCTTTTATTGAGAAAGCCACTATATCTGAACTAGTTTCCCCTAGGTCTGCACAGCTGTGCTAAATTTCTAGTTTAAAAGTTAAAAACCTACAATGGAATAGGCACTTTATTTCTTTTTAAAATTTTTAAAAATAATTTAAAAACAAATCAATCGCTCTTTATTTGTTTTACTTATCAGTACGTGGATTTAGAAGTATAAACTCAATTAAAAGTACTTATTGTCTGTAGCAGCGATGAATCAAACCCCTTTCCTATGAATCACATAATCATCTACAATGCTTTTTTGGCTGATTTTTCTTTATTGTTCTTTAAGTTTTATATGTCTCAAGAGAAACAGTATTTTAAAAAATAATCCACTGACTTAAATTGGTTTTTATTTGCACCTTACTTGGTTAACAGATCCCTAGTAGTAACCACTACCTCGAGCGATTTTCATTACAGCCCTGCTTCTTCTAGAAAGTGACTGTTGCAGTTGAAATTATGCTGACCCGGCCCAGGTGGCTCCCAGCCTCTGTGAGCAGGTGACCCACACCCTTCTGCCCACAGAACTCCCATGAGTCTTAAATCCCTTTTGGAGCAAGACAGGGGTGGGAGAATGCAGGAGCAGATGGTTGGACGGAAAGTCACTGACTTTCACAGTGTGCTCCTGTATTTCCTGAGAAAGAAGAACCTGACACAAAGCCTGTGTGTCGGTAGTTTACTTGGGAAGCAGGAAGGGGCAGGAGAGAGTAAAATTAGGCAGAAGGAGGAGTACTGTGAGTGTGGCCTAACAAGTTGATCTAGATCTGACAGGAAGAAATCGACTAAATTATTAGCATTACTAAGTCTGTAGATTTTGATTTAAAATATGCCTGTCTGCATTTGCTGATGGAGCTTAGTTTTCACCAGTCATGTTCTGTGGTTTGGTGTTGCAGTTCTTGGTGAGAGCTAATTAGCCATTGCCCTTTTAAAAGATATAAATGCTCTTCTGTCTGCTGTGATGCACAAATCTGAGCTAATTCTCCAGGCCAGGGCTGCTGGAACTGTGTCAGACCTTGCGGGGAAGAGTACAGAGTAGATCTCAATGGACTGGCACAGGCTTTTGTGTTGGAACCCAGTGCTAGACCGTCATGGTGAGATCCAGCACCTTTATAAACTGAAGGCCCCTTTTGCGCTGGAGTTCACACACAGAGCCTCTAGATCTGTCCTGGCATTGAATGGAGACCTATGCAATGGTGGGGCAGGTGAAAGTTTCAGCTTGTACCATTGCCTTCCTTGAAGTAGGCCCAGAGCATGCCTGCCCACCTCCTGAGAGTGCCCAGCCCCGTGTGGCTGAGACGTGAGTACTATCTAGCCTAGCATCAGCTGTGGTGGCCAAGGACTGTTACCATCCACTGTCTTCAAACCTGGGGAACACAGCTGCTGCGAGACCAGGGCTCACAGCTGGGGCCCTAGAACACCCCAGCACCAGCCGAGACCTGGAAACCAGTGCAGACTCAGATTTGGGCCTGCATAACTGCCAGCTGCAGTGTGAGCCTCTGTGCACCCCTCAGCTTGTGAGACTTGGGTGCCACTGGCTCAGCACCAGCCTGTGTAGCCAGGGCCTGGCTTCTCTAACACCACCTGAACTTCAGGCAGCCCTGCTTGACACAAGACCCTGTGTAGTAGGACAGGGTGGTAAGCATGCTTTACCCTGGAACTTAGCATTGTGCTGGTAGAACCAAATCCTGGGCAGATCCTGGCAGCCCCCTTCCCTAGCTCTGCTTGCAATCTGCACCTCTGGGACAGTCCAGTCCTAGGGGGAGACACACAGCCCCAGCCTATTGGGCTCCTATTCTAGCTGGCATCACTGGGGTTGGTTGCATCAGTCTTCAGCTATGAGTCTGTGTTTTAATAATAGGCAGTCTGTAGCTTGTGGCCCTTGTTCCTACCCTTCTGGTGTACTGGCTTGGCAGGCTGTGGGCTCAGGGTATGACATAGCTGAGTGGCATTGGTGTGATGTAGGAGCCTCTGGCTAGTCTAGCCATGATGACTCTACTCAGAGTCAGGTAAAATTCTGCAGTACCTGATCACTGGCCAGTAACTGTGGATGAATCACCTGGACCTACCCTGGCTCAGAGGAGAGAGTTGTGGGAAAAGACTAGTTTTTTAGTTATGCTCCTGGTTCTTTCTAAACATCACATCAGCAGTGTACTTGGGACAAGCCTGGGCATGGATTACCCTCTAGTACTGAGACAGCTGCAGCACACCAGGAGCAGACTCCTGGTGAACCTGGGCATGATAGTTGATGTTTCTATAAGGTCAGAGAAAATAAGCTGCTTGTTTGGAATTTCTGAGATAATGCTAGATTAGGAAGACTGGAACAGATATTCAGGCAATGTGACATGCCAGTAACATCAGGAGCTTTCAGGAAACTGTGACCTCACCTAGCAGTCAAATAAGATGTCAGAAAATGATCAGGTAGCCATCAACATAGGAGAACTCTAGAGGAATTCAACATCTGTGTTAAGGAAACCCGGAAAACTTAAAGAAAAGACAGAAAGCATTTCAATACTGTTTTTTTTTTTTTTTTTTGTCTTTTTCATTTTTATCGGTACCGGGGATCGAACTCATGACCACCTGCTTGCAAGCAGGTGCTTATGCCCCTGAGCTAAATCCCCAGCCCCCTTCTGTCGGGGTCGCTCCCGGCCGGCAGGAAAGACACACGACAAAGTCTGGCGGTGTGCAACCTTGCCTTTATTTGTCTCCGCGTGGGCCCCGCGAGGCCTCCACTCTGCCACCAGCCCTTTCTCGCCGGTGGACTTTCTCTATCTCTCTCTGTGCTTCCTCTCTCGTGGCGGGAGAGGCATTCACTTTTATAGGGTGACAGTAGCCAATCAGTTTAAAGCGCGCGATGCGGGCTGACTGGCTAACATCAGTTGTTGCTAGGCAGACTATCTTACAGAGCGGGTTGTTTAAGTCGCCAGCGCAATCAGGGGGCAGGAAGCAGGCGCCAACTTGGCTCACTCGATGGGAGGGGCAATCTAGCTCAGGCTCCGCTCCCACCCACAGGCCCTACGTCCGCCAAGTAAGGCGACCGGTGTCGGCTGCGGCTCCCAACACCCTTCAATACTCTTAACAGAAAAACCCAACAAAGTGATAGGAGCACTTTAAAAATACTGAAACCCTTGAGCTGAAAAGTACCTTCAGAAAATTCAATATGGAAGCTGTAATAAGCAAGGTAGATCAAATGGAGGAAGGAGTTAGTGAGCCGGAAGAGAAGCTACTTGTAAATGTATTTAAAGAGGGAAAAGAGAATGAAAGGAATGAAGAAAGCCTACAGAAAGTTTTGGACAGTATTCAAATAGTTCAAGTAATTACTTGAGTTGTGGGGGTTCCAGAGTAACTTGAGAATGCTAAAGGGGCAGAAAGCTTAGTAATAAATAAATAAATAACAGAAAATTTCCAAAACCTAGAAGAGGATAGAGTTGTCAGGAACAGGAAGGCCAAAGGTTTCCTTATTTAATTCCACAAGCTTACCCCAAGATATCTTATAATCAGGCACTCAAAAGTGAAAGGTAAAAAGATGCTCAAGGCTGCTAGAACAAAGAAACAGTACTGCCCCAGCTCACCTCACGGCAGACTTGTCTATAGAAATATTGTAGAAAATGCCTGAGCTTTTTCACAGCACCTAAGGCCAAAAAAAGATTCTCAATCAAGGTTTCTCTGTGCCCAGCAGAGCTGTCCTTTGGAAATGAGGAAGTGATAAAGAGATTCCCAAACAAAACAAAAATAGAGATTATATTTCTGCCAGACCCGTTCTGCAAGAAATATAAAGGAAGTTCTTCAAACTAAAAGACAGACATCTTCATGAGTAAGAAGTGAAATGGAAAGATATGAAACCCTGTAAGGGTGATTGTCAGAATGTTCTAAAATATGGGAAGCATGCTGTGCAAACCAGTCGTATCTTTAGTATGAAGGCTAAAAACAAAATAATTAAAAATGATAACTACATTAATATGTTAAGGCAGAGGCCATACATGTGTAAACTGGAATATTAAAAATTCAAAATGTGGGAAGAATGGATTGCAAATGTAGTTTTCTTTCTTTTTTTGGCTATATGTTTATGATACATGACAAATGCATTCACTGAGGGAAGTTGGTGTATATGACTTTCTTATCAGTATCTCATCTCTTCTTTTTTGTTTTTGTTATTTAAAATCATACTACTTGCTATCATTTCAAAATAGTTTATTATAATCAAGATATGTTTTTTCAAGCCTCATGGTAACCACAAAGCAAATATCTGTAACCTACAAACCGAAATTATTAAAAGAATCAAAACATACTACTAAAGTAAACCGTGTAATTACAAAGGAAGACTAGAAGAGGAGGAGAAATAAAGAGAATAAACAACACTACAGAACGAGTTACACAATGGCTGTAGCAAGCACTTAGCTATCCGTAATTACCTTGAATGAGTATAGATTGTGTTCTCGCATTAAAAGGCCTAGAGTGACTAAATGGATAAGCAAATGAGACCTAATGTTGCTGCTAAGGTGCTCAGTTCTCCTCTGATGACACTAAGACTAAAAATGAAGGCGAGAATAAGATATTCTATAGATAGAATCCAAGAAAAGCAAATATAGCTGTACTTAGGTAAAATAGACTTTAAATCCAAAACGTAGAAAGAGACAAGGAAGACATATGCCAAATATATAAAGCAAATACTACTAGTCATAAAGGGAGGGATAGACTCCAATATAATAATAGTTGTGGACTTTAATACTCTACTTTTATTCAGATAAAAAATCAACAAGGAAACAACAGAGCTAAATTACACTCAACCAAATGGACCTAACAGACATCCATATGACATTCCACTCATTAGCTTCTCAATACACACTGTTAACAGCACTTGAAACAGTGTCCATGATAAGTGTCCATGATAGAACGGTGTCCATGATAGAACACATGATAAGCTACAAAATAAAAGTTTTAAAAAGTTGAAATCATCTAGAATATTTTTTCTGATCTCAATACAACAAAACTAGAAATACAAAACAAGAAAAACTCCAGAAACTATACAAATCCATGGAAATTACACAACTTAATTCAACTAGTAGATGAAAGAAGAAATCAAGAAATATTTTTAAAATTGCTTAAAACAAATGAAATTGGAAACATAACATACCAAGACCGGTGGCATATAAGAAAAGGAATACTAAGAGAGATGTTTATAGCAATCACATCCTGCAGCAAAACGCAGAAAGATCCCAAATAAAAATGCAAGACGACAAGGAAAAAACCCTAAACAAATTTTTCAATCTAAAGGGAATGGAAAAATAAAACCCAAATTTAATAGCAAAGAAAAACATAATAATAATCAGGGAAGAATAAATGAAATAGTAAAAAGCAATACAGAAAAATCAACAAAATAGAACTGGTTCTTCAGGAAGATAGTTAAAATAGACAAAACAGTAGAACCAAAAAAAGAGAGAGAGAAGACACAAAATGAGAGATGAAAATGGACACAGCACCTAGGGAGTGTGTGTGGGGGATGATCCGTGGTACAGGGTCGTAGGTAAGGTAGGAGTGAGGAGCGCTGTGTGTGTATTGCACAGCAGAGTGACTAAATAATAATCTGTAGAAAGCTAGAGGAAAGAATTTTGGAAGTTTTCACCACCAAGAGATGAAGTTTTGAGGAGTAAGATGTGTTTAACTTTTTAAGCATTACACAGCGTATATAACTACCAGAATATCACTTGGCAACCCACTGATATGTGTAATATTTATGCTTTTATGAGACAGTTTTTAAAATGTAAACAAAAAAGAAGGCTTAAAGACAGTTGTCAAATGCTGAAGATGAGTACATCCAGCTGGCAGCCTGGCTTTTGAGAACATCTCACAAATGCTGCACGCCCTGGCCAGTCCCGGCTTGAGTAGACATAATACACCATGCCTTACGTAGGCCTGCTGTGGATGGTTTATGTCTTCCCAGACATCCTTATCTGTTTGAGAAAAGATGTGTGCATTTCATTAAAATATCTCTGTGGTACATGAAAAGGGGTTTGCTGTATTACTCACTGTCTTAGTTACTTTCTCTCATTGCTGAGACAAAAGACTCAATGCCCAAAATGAAGGAAGGAAAGGTCTGTTTAGCTCACAGTTTGTGGAGGGTTCACCATACTCTTCCAAGGCACAGCAGCATGGCAGAGGGCAATAGATCATGGAAGTGGAAAACAGCACAAGCAACAGGAGCAAACATGGAGGAGCGTGAGAGAGGACTCTTTCTGCCCATTACATTGTGTGTAGGCTGCCCACCCAGGGTGGGTGCAGCACTCACACCCATAACCCCAGCATTGGACTGTGAATCAATCACAGATTCTAGAAGCCCGCCCGCATGACTGCATGGGGCTTTGGGTGGACATCCAGACACAAACCATAACACTCACTAACACTTAAGTGTCTCGTTTAGGTGAGTACAAAGCCCCAGTGGCAGCAGGCTGCTCCATCCTTCCACCTGAATATAAAGCAGGAGAATGAGATCCCGGAGCCTTTTACTGTTAAAAATGAACAGTCTTATGGTAAGAACATTAATTTACATTCTAAATTTAAAGGTATTTTCTACAGGGAAAAAACTGTGTGACATTTAGTTAATAGAGTCATAAAAATGTAAAACTTAAGTGACATTTATGTCATGTAGAAAAATTTCTCCCAAATGTTTTCCATCTCAGAAATAATTGATTCCAGTTCTTCATTATTTCAAGCCTTTGTAAATGCTGTAAGAGCTGATATTTTAGGAATTTGGCTGTTTATCACAAATCTTTTATTTGTTGTAGTTAGAATTTACCTGTGTCAAAGGCCGAGAAGTTTTTTCTAAGAAATTTTTAGTTAGGCATAAATATTACTTTCAAATGAGTCATTTAATGTTTTATTATTTTGACTCATTAAAATACAATGCTTATCAGATTGATTACATTTAATATTGTTTTTTATTATTCTTTAAATTTTTAATGGCTGCACTGTCTTTAATCATAGTTTTAATCTTGTTCATTTTAAAAGGGCCTATGTAAATGTAATTGAAAAATTGTTATATTAATCAAAATATATAGTAAGTCAATTGAATATTCTTGAAATAAAAGTTTCTATTATGATAGTAGAAGATAGTAGTATTTTAACTTTCTGAAAATAAAAGAAAATAAATTAGACTTTCTTGAAGACTTAAAGCTTGTTATATTTTCTAATGGTGTTTTATTCTAAGTACTTAAATATTTTATGTTGCTTTTAAGAGGAACAATCTTTTTTTTAATTCAAGCTGAATACATTGAACACTTAGGAAAAAAAGACAGAGTCTTCCACCAAGTTGAAGATGCTAGACCATCTACCTGCAGGTCAAAGGCCAAGTCTCCTCACAGAGAACGAGAAAACTTTCGAAGTGCTCTTGTTAACGTCATCCTGTAAGTTCCTTATGCTGCCAAAGTGTGTCACACTAGTTAGAGCCCCTGAGAAATTTTATCTAAAACTCTTAGAATTGTGTGCATCTCCAAGGAAAGCCTTGTTGCAATGTTGATGTACAAGGAATGAAGGAGTTCGAGTTTAACCCTGTTAGGCATGTCCCACCTTGAAATACCATGAATTGTAAAGGCACCAACGTGAGTGCTTGACATTGGCGGAGTGATCACAGTTTCTGGACATTCTGGTGATAGCCATGTGGCTAGTGGAGTCTTTGGCTGGTGGTTTTTCCCCATCTCGTCAGCTCAGGTGATACACAGTGAGGTGACCTCTCTGACATTGTAGGACTCTTCATGTAGGCATGGAATGGGGTGGAGGGCACAGCAGTGCAGGCTGTGGCCGCCCCGTCCAGCCTGGCCTGAGCTTTCCAACTTTGTAGGGAGCGTGAGGAGGACTCAAGTTACTCTTCGTCTCATTTCCATGTGGCATTGTACAAATTGTTTAGCATTCTCTTGTGTCATTATGGTGCAAACAACCATGGGTTTTCATGACCCACTGTAGTGCATAAAGTCACCCCAGAACCCCGTTTTCTCACCCCTTCTGGCGTGACTTGCTGGATGGCTGAGTGCTTACAAAGGACGGGGGGATTTGTGGAGTCCTGTGCAGCTGAATTGATGGTGGATGCCTCCTCTAGAGTAGCTTTGAGTTTGCTTTTGCCAAGTGCCACCAGAATGTCACCTGCGTGGCCCACCACTGTACTGTTTTCTTGGCTTAGGCACACTTGGATCACACTAGTTGTTGAAAATCAATTCCAATATCAATGTGCAAGTAGCGCTCTGTCTGTCAGTTCAGAGAAGACATTCTTTTTGATTGTCTGGAACCCAGGTCAAGACAAATGAGGTGTCTTTCTTCTTCCTCCACCAGAGGTTTGGATAAAGAAACGTGTTATACTTAAGGACTGTTACCCTGAATGAGTACACAGATGAGAACATAGTGGCGCTGGGCCGGGCGGCTGGCTTTTTGGTAACTGAGTGAGTTTGGGTGCTTTGGAGACAAGTTGATGGGTTGGCCAGGTGGAACAGAGAGAGGGCACAGGTTACACAGCACAGGGCATCAGGGCGTGAGGGACTGAGAGGAGCTTCTTGATGTGACTTCTGTATCCCTTATTTCCAGCCCTTTTTAAACTGAGCGTGGCTCCCATGGTGGCTTTCAGGTTTATGAGGGTCTTTGTTGGAGTTAACTAAAGAATCATCAGAAAATCCCAAGCTCTGCCCCATAAGCTGTGTTTAGTCTTTCACTGTTTTTTTCAAACATGGTGTTCAAAGGAGCTTTCTAAGTTATTACCCAGCATTTATGGAACAGTAGAGATGGCAGTTTTTGTGATTCTCTTTCCTGCTGTTGTAAGAGACAGAAGTCTGTTTTTAACCTTTTTGTTGTGTGTTAATTGTGCTGAATGGAGACAGACTTACTGAAGTTCAGTCTTAGTAGTTTGTTTAATCCTGCCAGTCTGCCTGTATATCTATCTATCACCTATCATCTATCTGCCCACTAATCTTTGTGTGTGGCTCTGGGATGGATCTCAGGGGTCTCATGCATGTGAGGCAAGTGCTTTATCAGCAAGCTGCAGCCCAGATGTAGACAGCTTTCTGATACTTCTTATCTATGAACATTTAATTCCTGCCAATGTATTTTGTGTTCTATTTGTCGTAAATGGCCTTCATTTTAATTCTTTTCCTGCTTTTCATTCACTTGAGTGTTCTCAATTTTCTCTTTATTGCCATGGATTTAAAAATGATGAAATATATTTGTTTCTTAAATGACCATCCTAATCTTTAAAACTAGACATCTTAATTTAAATTTACAATTTTAAAGTTCATTTTGTCTGTCTTCCTCCTGAACCACAGATGTTAAAATTGTTTTAGTTTAACTCTAACTTACTTAGCATTTCTTATGTAATTTTTAAAAAGTGGTTTAATTCCCCCAAGATCTTAAATATGCATATTCTTTTTTTAAGTTAGTGAATACTTGCTTTACTAACATGTCACATAATTTCTTAGAAAATTACTTGCGTTCCACTCTCTACTTACAGTTCCATTTTCTCTTTGGTTGCGATTCACCCCTTAGTATTTCTCGCTGTGAGACTGTGCAGGGAGCGCTAACTTTCCTATCTGTGAAGGGCTCAGTTTCATCCTTGTTCGGGCTCAGTGTGTAATGGTAATCTCCCCGGTGCATCGGGCAGTGAGCAGGCACAAGTGCTGCCCATCGTTTCTGCCGAGTGTTACTGTGAGTGAGGAGCCCCGTCACTTTGTCCTCATTTTGCAAACTTTGTCCCACTGGACTCTTGCACACTCCCTTCTTTTATTTTTTACCAGTTTGTATTTTGTATTAGTACATGCGTGCGGTACACAGTGTTTACGCTACTTGAGTGCAGCTGATCCATGTGCAGGAAACATCTTAGTTCTTGTTTTCGGCCCTTTGCCCTGCCCTCACTCCTCTCTTCCCCCTTCTCTTGCTTCCCTTCCCACTAAAGAAAGATCTATCCCCCTTCTTCCTGTTATCTGTCTTTCATTTTGCCCTTTATAAGTTGCCTTTATAATTTGGATTTTTCCTATAGAAGAAACCTTGTGGCATTTAAGCTTGCATGTCTGATTTACATCAGTTTCTTGCAAATGCCTCAAGTGTATCCTTCTTTATGGCAGAGTAGTGATCCATTTTGTGTAATACCACATTTTCTTTATCGATTCATCTGCTGATGGACTATAGGCTGCTTCAAGATTTAGCTATTATGTTTTTCCTCTTTGAGCAGTTTCTTGCCCTCTCGCAATATTTACTGAATATTTGGTGTCTCATTTACTCTTTCAGTTTCTTACACCCAGGAGACAATACGATATTTACACATGTGAGTTTGATTTCTCTTACGAGTATGGTCTCAAGTCATATCCATTTACTTACAAAAGCCTCCATGTGGTCTTTCTTTATAGCTGAGTAGTACTCCATTGTATAAAAATACTACATCTTTTTTTAATCCATTTCTCAGTTGATGGGCATTTGGGTTGTTTCTAAGATTTAGCTATTATAAGTTTAGCTATTATGAATTGTGCTGCTATAAATGTGTGTGTGTGTATGTGTGTGTGTGTATCACTGTAGTATGTCTTTACGTCTTTAGAGAAGATACCTAGAAAGAGAAGAGCTGAGCCAAATGGAATTTCTATTGTTAGTTTTGCTGACCCTCCATCCTGATCTCCACTGTGGCTGTGCTGGCGTACCTTCCTACCAGCAGTGTACAAGGCTTTCTTTCTCCTGCAGCCTTGCTAGCATTTGTTGTTATTTGATTTCTCGGTGATAGCCATTTTTTCTTGAATGAGATGAAGTCTCAGTGTTGTTTACATTTCCATCTCTGACAACCAGTGATGCTGAATATTTTTATATATTTATTAGTTATTTGTACTTCTATTCATATCAGTTGCTTACCTTTCAGTTGGGTCTTGTATTTTGGGTTTCTAATTTTTAAGTTCATTGGATATTTTAGAAAATAGTCCTCTGTCTGAGGAACAGCTGGAAAAAAGTTTTCTCATTCTGTAGGTTGTGTCTGTACTCTGCTAGTTATGACCGTATTTGTAATGTTTCTTGGTAATATATCTTGTGCCATTGGGGTTCTGTTTAGAAAGTCCTTGCCTATGCCTATGAATTCAAGAATTTTATCTATTTTATCTCCTTTTTTAACATTCAGATCTGTACCCATTTTAGCTAGCACACAGTGAGATGCCTGGGTCTAGATTCAGTCTTCTGTCTGTGTATGTGCTGCCGAAGTGAGCAGTCTTCTTCCTGTAGATAGCCAGTTTTTCCTCCAATAGATGTTTTAGCCCTTAATCAAATTCATATAGCTGAATCAGTCTCTCTGTCTCTGTCTGTCTCTCTTTCTGTCCCCCTCTCAGCCTCTCTCTGTTGGAACATTTTATTTTTAAGCATGGCACATAGACCTTTTTAAAAAAAAACAGCTTTATTGAGAGAGAATTTATAAATCATTCAATTTATCCTGGTAAGTGTAAAGTAAGTGTAAAATTTAATGAGTTTTAGTTAACGTCTATAGTTTCGCAATGCACACCTAAACTTACTTTTAGAATACAGTTCTTGGGTCGTACATGTACCCCTCCTAATTAGTCCCCTCTTCCTGCTGCTGCCCAGGCAGGGGTTGCTCTGCTTTCTTTCTCTATAGGTTTACTTTTTCTAGAATTTTATAGAACTGGAATCATACAATAGGTTTGTTTTTAATGTCATTCATGCTCTTTGTTTCTGCTTTTGTTCTCAATGATACTGCTATGAACATTTGCATAAAAGTCTTCTTGTAAACATGTCTTTTAATTTTCTCTGGGTAATTACCTAGACATAGAAATGCTGGGTTATGTGGTAGGTTCAAGTTTAACTTTCTGAGGTTTCACAGAAGGTTTTCCAAGCGGCTGTACCATTTTGCATTCCCATAAAATAACGCAATTTCTTTAGTTTTGTTTCCTCTGTCTAGTGATTTTAGTAGACATGTTGCATATTATTATGTCTTTAAAATGTATTTCCTTAAATGCATTTTAATGCATGGTCATTTTTTCTTGTTTGGCACTCATATAAATTATTGGTTAAGTACCTATTCAGATATTTCACTCACTTTTCATTGGATTTCTTTATTTTGCATTGGTACAGTTCTTGTATGTTTCCTATATAAGTTCTTTTCATAGAAATCTTTTGCTGATGTTTTCTACTAGCATGTGGAGCTTATTGTTTTTATTTTTTAATGTTGTTGTTTTTGAAGTTTTAACATTTGAAAAATTTCAATTTATCATTTTTTCTTTTATTGTTCATGCCTTGGGAATCATATTTAAGAGATTTTTCTTTATATGGAGAATGATAAGATAAATGTTTAAATATTAAAACATCACAGTAAAATTACGTCACCATAACCCTAGCATACTCCTCCTTTCAAACGTCCTTACCCCCCTTGCTTGCCCCTTGTGAAGCAGTTTGGGGAAGTCCTGCTCATGAATGCGGTTCTCAGTGTGGTCCGGTGCAGTGCGTGGTGCTCCAGGAGCTGAGGCTTGTGAGGTCGCGGCTGTGTGTCCTCATCCACCCTGTCCACAGACCTGGCACCGTGTCACTTCTAGCTCTTCCCAAAAGTCTAACTGACAAGGAATCAGTCAAGAACAGTGGGCAGCCATGGAAGCACAACTGAAGACTCTCAGGAAAGAGACTTCTCCTACAACTTGAAACTGACTTCAGATCCTTGTGATCACCACCCAGGAGTGAGATCACTAGATCGGATGGAAATTCTACTGCTAGATTTGTGAGAAACCTCTATAGAACCTTCCACAATGGCTGTGCTCATTTACATTTCTACTAGAGGGTTTACTTTGGCAAGGGTTTCCTTTTCTCCATAAAGGTATCTTTCAATATCTACTACTAATATTCTACACACATGTAAAAATCAGAGGGCTTTATCCCCAATATCAGGAATTCCCTTCTCATCAGTGCTTTTTCATTATGTACCAAAGGACCTAAAACATGCAAAATGGAAAAAAAAAAAAAACAAAGAAAGAAATTAAAAGCATCTTGTTTGACGATGAAGAAGTACAATTGTCTTTATTTCTAGATAGCACCATCAAATATACAGGAAATTCTAAGGAAACTTTAAAAAGACAAGAACAAGTAAGCTTAGCAAAATCTTAGAATGTGAGATCAATAAGCAAAAATCTATTGATTTTTCTATTTAATGGCAGAGAACAACTAGATAATGAGATTATGTAATTCTATTCATACTAAAATAAAAAGAACAATACTTGGAAATAGACATTTTTAAAGTGCAACACTTGTAACATGAAAACTACCCAGTTCTATGGAAAGCATTAAATCTCTTTTTCAGAGAGATACTATCGCTCTCCTGTTTATTGTTCAACATAATTAGGGAGTCAGTCAACCTAAGTGCCCATCAACAGAAAATGCAGTAAAAATATATAGGTAATGGGATAGATTCTGCTTTAACAAATAAGGATATAGAGCTGGGAATATAGTTCAGCGGCACAGCGCCTGCTTGGCAAGCATGAGGTCATGAGTTTGATTCTCAGTACCACAAAAGAAAAGAATATCGTTATTCTCAAGTTGGATAAAATTGAGGAACACTGTGTTAGGGAAAGCCAGGCACAGACATACAAATGCCACGTGCTCTGACTTGTGAGATCTGAAACAGCTGACTCAGCGAGGAGGGTGCAGGAGGTGATCACGGGGGAGAGAATGGCTAGAGGGTGTTGAAAGGAACAGTTTTTTCTTTGAGGGGCAGCTAGGGGTCTAGCTCAGTGGCACAAGTGCCTGCCTGGAAAGCATGAGGTAGTGAGTTCAATCCTTGGCATGAAAAGAAGAAAGTTTTTTCTCTGAGAATCTTTGCGTAGTGTGTAAATATGATAAATACTAATGTACATTTCAAACTCACTAAGAGTATATTTTACATATTCTCATTATAATAAATATTTAAAGTGATAATATTTTACTGAATTTAATTATTGCACTTGTACTTATAAACTATAATATTCCTTTTTACCTCCAAATGTATAAAAGCATTAACTTCCCAATTTACAATAAATAAATTTAAAAGCTAAATTAAAAAATGCATAAAATGAGAACAAGGACTGAATAAACATGTAAACAAAAACAAAAGATCTCCCTTAATGCTGGGGAAGTTTCTTTCTTTTTCCTGTTGTTGAGAGGTTTTATCATGAGTGGCTGCTGGGCTTTGGTTAAATGCCTTTTCTCTGTCCCTGACAGTGATCTCTGGCTTTTGTCTCAGTCCTTATGTATAATCGTTTTAGTTTGTTGCTGGATTTGGTTTGCTAATATTTTATAAATTTTTGAGCATATATTCATGATTAATATGTACCCATACTTTTCTTATTATAGTCTGGAGTTTGATATCAGGTCACTGTTGGTCTTGGGGAATGAGTTGGGAATGTATTGTCATCGCTTGTATTTTCTGGAAGCGTTTATATAGAATTTGTATTATTTCTTCCTTGTTTGATAGAACTTGTTAGTGAAGGCATTTGGACCTGAACATTTTTGTATGGGAAAATTATCAGGTTACTAATTAAATTAGTTTACTTGATATATACTTTAGCATATGAAAAGCAACTAATGTGGTATTCCACACATTGCTAGAATGAAAAACAAAAGTAAAACAGTCATCTGATTGGTTGATCATTTGTTTCTGGTGAGCAGGCTCTTTGCCCTTAGCCCTAGAACGACAGAGTCACAGACTCCCAAGGTTGAAAGGGTCCTCACTCATACTGCCAGGGCAACCGTATCTGCTCCAACAGCCTTTCCGCCTTCTCTCTCCTCCCTACCTGGCCTGGCCGCATCCTTCCCAGCTCGCGTTATTCCTAGACAATGAAGAACATTTAACTCTCAGGAATCAGCTCGTGGTAAAATGAACATTTCTGCCAGTTAAAAAATCCCACAAGTCGTTAAGGTCATGCCCATTATCGTGGTAGAAGATGAACACCAATTTCTTGATTGCTGAAATATTTTACTATTGTATTGATTCCTTTTTTCTGTACAATCAGTTACATAATGGGATCCTGTCTGTGGTTAGAATAAGCAGCTCTTCTCCTTCCAACTACTGAGTACCTGGGAGATCTCCTTCTGCCCCTCTACACTCACATTCCTCTACGTGATGAACATTTCCTGAATACCTACTGTATCCTGAATTTAACAGGAACTACCCAAGTGGTGACTTTTTTCTTCATATAATTTAAATCATTGTAGTTTAGTAATTTATTTTTCTTCATATAACTTAAAGAAGGGTAATTTTCACAAAATTTTGGGTTCCCAAGTTTGCAAGAAACAAATGGGTACCCACTTTGATGTAGCATTTTAGGTGTCCAATAAACCTCCCCTCTCCACTCACCAGTTAGGGGGAAGGAGTGTTTTATTACACAGCATTACTGACAGGGTTGGAATTTAAAGCATGACACAATTATGCTGAAGAGGTTAAAGGTATTCCAGAAAAATTTACTTTTCCCTGAAGGTATGAACTGTGTATTTCTGCTGAAAAAAGTCCCAAAATGTGGCTCCGATATGACAGGCTCTGAATCGAAGTGTAAACACTACAGTATTACATGAACACATCGCCATTAAAGATGCAGAGGAGCACACAAGGTTCCGTGTCTCTCTGCTGACACGTACGTCTCTAGAGACCTAAGAGCAGTCCTTCTGAAGACTGTGTCTGTGTGTCCTTCCAAATGACCAGACTGTCTTGAATAGCGCAGCACTTGATTTCGTGGCGATGAAGAGGATGAATAACCAGCAGGAAGCCGTGGCCTTTCAACTGGGTCTTCTAAGTCACTTCCAGTGTAATGTCTCCCTGCAAACACAGAGGAAGCATGCTGGGAGGGGTATGGTGCTAAAACACATTTACACTATCTACAGAATGTCCAACAGTTTGTTTTTTTCTTGTGATTTAGTAGGAAACAGTTGATTTTATATCCATTATTTTGTGACCTAACTACCCTTGATGCATCTTTTAAACATTGTGTTTGTCATTTTCTTAGGCAACAAGAGGTTGGTTTAGAATCGGCTATCCCTGAAGAAATCAAAATTTCAAAAATGACCACCTCTGCCATAGAGAAAGACATCTTGGTAAGGAGTTACTTCTTTTGTCTGTAGAGCTGAAAATGAAAGAAGCAACCAAAGACATTTTCTGTGCTCCTCCCTTGTGGAATTCTGTGGGTACAGAAGTCAATACAGAGTCCCATCAAGTTCTTCCACTGGATTAATTAGAATAAATCTCCTTTTTACCACCTAAGGCCACAATTAGAGACCCTGAGGGCTACCACTTTCCATCTTAAAGTTAGTCTGAGTCATGCATGGCCTGTACATGCCTTTATTCTCTTTGACAAATTACTTTAATTGTGTAATAGCCCTTTACAGAGGTATTAGCTTCCTCAAGTATTTCAACTACAAAGTTCAAGATTTTTTTAAACTTTGAGACGTGGGCCTAGCTATGTTGCCCCTGCCAGACTCAGACTCCTGGATGGTGTCCTATGGCACATGTGTTATTTCTCTTTTAAGAGAGAAGAAGCTGGTGTAGGAGTTGTTCTTTCTGATCTAAAGCCTCAGTGTTCAGGTTTAGTTGCAGTGTTGGTGCTTGTGATAAATAAGGGGGTTTGGGGTTGCAGCTGGGACACTCGTCTCTGACAGGTTTGCCATCACTGTAGACCTAAAGGATCCTCTCTCCTCACTCATCTCCCAAAGAGCTGGGAGTAGGCGAGCATCACCGTTCCCACTTGTTAAAGGCTTTCACATTCCTATTTTGAAAGTATTTTGAGGACATTTAAAAAAAATACAGTGTAGATACTTGTGAAAATATAGTGAAGTTAAATACTTATTTTTTGAGAAATAATATCAGGTTTTAAGTGAATTTTGAATGAAAAAATGTGATAGCAGTTATGAAATTATATAGGGTATTATCAGGCCAGTTAGAAATTTTTCACATCCTGTTGCATAACATTTCTGTGATTAACATACAAGGGATACTAATTTGCTTTTAAGCTCTGCTTCTGATTATTAATGGTATAAGAATAAAAACTATTTTTTTCTAAATTTATAAAACACTGAGCTCTAATTCAGCATGGATTTTGTTCAGTACATCAGAAATTTGGTAATATAACTCGATATTTCATGAAGTGACATTTTAATTTTCATGAAATATATATTTTTTAATTTTAAGAGATTTCCAATAATGCTCACATGGGCTGGGGATTTAGCTCAGTGGCACAAGCACCTGCCTGGCAAGCACAAGGTTGTGAGTTCAATCCATGGTACCAAAAATAAAAGCTCACATGAATTGAAGAAAGTACTTTTTATTATTTATAAATACTTGGCTGCAGTGCTTGGATTTCCTCGGTGGTTCTCTATTTTGAGAAACACATTTCCACAGCTCATTTCCCCATCTCCTCTATGTAGAAGCATTATTATTACATCCACCATGGGATCGACACAGACCATGTAGCCCCAATGGAGGACTCCTGGCTGGAACACGTCCTGGACCTGGTCCCGCAGCATCTGAAGGTCCTCACGGACAGCATAGCTGTACTATCAGATGAAATGCGAGAAGATTATCTGCTCAGTGTGAAGAAGTCAATAGGTAAGTTGGTGGTACCCGCTGCTTATTAATCTGAATATGTGTTGCAGCATAGATGATTCTCTGCATGTGGGAAGTTAATCGCTTACGTGTGGAACTGTTTCCTGGGTTACGTTGTCCTTGCAGGGTTGCTGCATCATTTATGATTGTACACAGGTTCCATTAATGAGGTAAACCAAGAAATGATTAAAATTCAATCTATTTGTGGGGATAGATTCCGTCAATAAAGGATGGCCCTAAAGAAAATCATAGAACGTTAATTTCAAGCCCTCAAAGTATTTACAGAGCTGGGAATATAGCTCAGCATTACAGTGCCTGCAGGGTCCTGAGCTCAGTTCTCCGCGCTCCCTTATAGAGTGTCTAGTTTATGCAAGGCTTCAGGCCCCTGGGAGACAGTCTTTCCCTTCACATTCCTTCTATGGCCTATCAGTGTGAGACACAGGACGCACGTATAAGAATAGTCAAAAGTTTAAATTAAATACCAATGGGCAGTAATCTTACTGATGTCATAAATTCAAACAGGGTCACTCACCATGTTTCTGTGAACCAGGAGCTGGGGAACTGTGAGGCGAGGCCTCCTCTGGCCTCTGCCTGCTTCTGCACCTCACATTTTATCGGAACATAGTACACACTCACTTTTCTGCACATTGCCTGTGGCTGCCTTTAAGCGCCCAGGGTTGATGGAATCATTATTCTCACAAAGTTGAAAATCGTTATAATCTGACCCTTTCCATGCAGATTTTGTTGGCCCATGGTATGGAGATAAGTCTGAGTCATAAGATCAAGTTTTTCTCTTGTATTTTCAGATGAGTTCCTGCTATGTAGCCCAGGCTGGCCTCAAACTTGTGGGGGTCCTCATGTGTCACCATACCCAGCAAGAATCATTTTAAAACACTGGTTTCTGGCCCAATCTAAATTCAAATCCTTGTACTTGGAATCTGTACTTTTAAAAATGTTCTCCAATCGGCTGTGACAATAAAGCTGGTATCACGAACACTGTATTCACAGTTGGGGAAACCACGTGGCCTTCACTGAAGGCCTCATTCACTGCCTTTAAGACTCTTATTATCTCAAAAATGCAAAGATGAAAAGCCAGGGAGTGCAAGCACGGAGAGAGGCACAGCCTTACACCCTAAGGCAGAGCAGTGAGTAAAACGAGGAGAGAATCGGAGGACACACTGGAGGCCTGGACAGGGCCCTGCAGGAGGGACACAGCTGGCCAGGCGGGAAAGGAGTGGGCCACAGCAGGTGTGCGAGCAAAGTGCCCTGGCCTTGTGAGCAGTACTAGTGGCCACACGTGGGTGCTGTGGGGGTGGAGACTCCGTGGGGAAGGCCTTTGAGCAGAGAGGACAGTCTCTGAAGGGCTTCCGTCAGGGTCAGTAACATCCCTGCATTCCAGAGAGCGCTTGCTGAGAGCCAGGCGGGAGGATCAGGACTCGCTGTGAATGAAAGTCAGGGGCTGGGTGCGCTCAAAGACGCTGATGTGACCGGTTTTCTCATAAATTTTTGTAGTTTCTTGTAAATTTCTATATTTTCTTTGTAAATACACAAATAGCCCATTATTTAAAAAAAGCTCTAACAAAATTTAAGTGGTTAATTTTAATAGAACTAGTTTTATAACTGCCTGGAAATACACTATAATTAATACATTAATAATTATGTAGTAAGTCTTTATCCAACCTTTTCCATTTTCTTTCAGTTGATTTTGTTCTAAAAGACCCCAGAGAGAAGGATGATGATAAAAGGCCCAGTGAGCTCCCACCCCACCGTGCCGAGTAGGTTCCTCTGTGGGTGTGTGTTTTATGTGACCATGTCTGCATGTGTTTGTGTCTTTACACACTGGCTATATCTTTTCAGGTGTGTTTATAAATTATATCTAAACATATGCACAAAATGCCTGTAAATGCATGTGCACATATTTCATGATCTTTATTCATGTATTTAAATCTTAACATGCCACATTTACAACATTATTAATAAGTGGACAAATAGACACATGGACACCTGGATATTAAAACAAAAGAATCTGGTGGAAAACAGTGTAGGTGTTTGAGACTCCACAGCAGTTTGCACAGGCTTCAGATAGGGTAGGGGCATAAAGCTTGATGGCGGTTGGCATGAGAGACAGAGGAGCACCACTGGAGAAAATATTCATGGGTAGAATACGCGTGGATTGAAATACAGACCATCAAATGGGAAAATCCAACTGCCATATATTTCCTCTAAAAATGATTATCATTTAAGAATAAATTTCTTATATAGTTTAAAGAATGAAACTTATTTTTATATAATTAGCCAATTTAGTTTTACTTTGTTCTTTTATGTCATTTAGAAGTGCTCCAAATTATCTCCAATATGACAAAACACAACAGAACAAAACAAAACAAAAACAAAACAAAAAACCCCAAAATCCAAACCCAGGTCAGGTAGCCATTTGCACATAAATTCTATGGGAAGTGTCTTTTGTTTTGTCCTGGGGAAAGACAAACAGCATCCTTTATAGTAACTGCATAGGTAGTGGTGTGTTTATCTATGCCTGAAAAACTGGGTTACTCTTGTACTACATAATAATGTAAGACCATGTCTTTAAGATCATGAGAATAAAATATTACAGCCACAAGATGGACCTGTTGGAGCCCACAGAGACTGGGGAATATTATAAGGCCAAAATGCATGTTATGCCCAACCACACGTGGTCATGGCTGAGCGGTGCAGTGCTGTCTGGATGAGTGACTGGTCTGACCCCCTAGATGACCCTGCTCACTGTGAGTGATGGGGCCCTGCCATGCCCCAGCCCTAGGAGAGAGCACCTTTCTACTGCAGCATGGCGCTAGCCCAGGAAAAATCAAGCCCCCACCAGCAGCTGCTGAATATGTACCCATATTCATTGCCTTTGCACCACGAGAAAGCAAAAAAAAAAAAAAAAAAAAAAAAAAAAAATTGGAAGGCCTACTATAATAAACTAGGGACCATCCATGGTCTGGAAGATAAAGATGGCACTTCTGCGATGCACAGAAGAGGACTGCATAAGTCACAAGAGTCACAGAATAAATGTGTCTTCTAATGAGAATGGCAGAGAGGGACCATGGCTTGTAAGTGATTGTCACACATTAAGAGATGACCAAGGTCAAGGGTATTTCCATATCCAGCCTGGATTGTGTCCTTGAACTATTTTACGAATAAAGGAGAAATTCTGAATGTTTTATATCCTGACACCAACACAGAACCTTTGCATATGGAAGGCAGCTGGTTGTTGCCGTTTGATCACTAAGTTATTTATGGACTCAGAAGGATCAGAGAAAAAAATTAGTTACTGTCTGTGTTAAAGACACAAACCAATCACTGTTGAGGAAATTATACAAACCCATAAAGAACATGTCCCTGCTACATTTTAAAACATGATTGCATGTTTCGTTGTTCCTACAGGGATACATCATATTTTTTATTAAAATATACTCATTATTACCCCAGAAGTCCATTTATTGCAAGCACCCACCGTTGTGCTACAGCCCCAGGCCAGTACTTTCCTGTGATACTTAAAGACGATAGCTAAATGTTTCCTCTTTGGTTTCAGAATGGAAGTTTTGCCAAAACCTTGGAGGAAGTCGTTCTTCACCGCGTGTAGTTACATCAGAGATCACCTGAATGCCATGAACCCCACGATGCTGGCCGTGCTGGATTTGTGGCACAGCTCATATAAGTGAGTATTGGGAGGCCTTACTGAGATTTTAAAAAGAGAAGTGAATGTTATTGTTATCACACCTTAATTATGTTTACTATTTTAACTTCAATTTCAAACGTGTGCTGCAAATTCAATGAGTGTTCTAATGTGGTTTCAAGTGAGCCGCATGGAGGTCCACAGAACGAGAGGTGACCACTGCCTTTATTTCTACCCACTGCGCAGGGCCACACGTACTGTGAAGGTGATCACAGTTAGGGAACTGAATTGTCAGACTTTGTTCAAAGTTATGCAAAACAAGCCAGTCGTAGGGCACACATCTGTAAGTCCTAGCATTCTGGGAGGCTGAGGCAGGAGAATTGCAATTCAAGCTGAACCTGAACAATTTAGAAATTTAGAAGGACCCTATCTCAAAATAAAAAATAAAAAGGGCTGAGGGTGTCGCTCAATGAGAAGGCCTTGGGCTCAATTCCCAGTGCAAATAAATAGGTAATCTAGAACATCCGCAGCAGAGCTTAGAGACTTAGCTAATCTTGGCCAGGTGGACGGCATGGGTTGAGGCCCCCCAGAAGGCTTTGGCTCCCAGTGGCCCCAGGTTTGTTTTGGGGAGCTAAGTGGTGCTGCTGAGCTGTGCTGGGACAGAGCAGCTTGGCCCCTGGGATGAGAGAGGCTGTGTTAGCTCTGGTGGAGCTCAGGTCACTCCTGTTCCTCCAGGCCCTGGGCAGCGCTCCAGCCCTACACTCACACGAGTGCACAGTTTTAAAATCCGCACAGTGGCACGGACTGGTGTCATTTTCCTCAAGAGGGCTTCTCTCCATGCATCCCCAGAGCTGGCCTGCTCCTGCTCTATGATAGTGGAGATAGCACCTTGTCTCTAAAACTGGGGTACAGAGGGGAGTCTCAGTCACTTTCCTCTTTGCTGGGACACAGCACCTGGAGCAGCCATCTAAAAGGAGGAGGGGTTCATTTTGGCTCATGTTTCAGTCCTAATCACTGGCTGCAGGGCAGGCAGGCATGGCGAGGGGTGTGGAAATACCACTGGCCTTATGGGGGACCGGAAGCTGACAGTGAAGGGAGGAGCAGGGAAGGGAGATGAGCCGTTCCAGTGACCCGAGTCTCCCACAGACCCCCCTCCAAACAGCAGCCCAGCTATGCACCCCTGCAATCCCGTAGCCTTCCACCACGTGGTTTTGGGGGGCTACTCTAACCCATCACAGGGGTCTGAGATGTCCAGGCTCACTGCCCAGCCAAACCCACGCCCAGGGACCCCGGGTTTTACTGCACAGGGGAACAGTAAATGAGCACGATCAAGCTGGGCCAGGACCCTGAAACCGGCTTCGCCTGTCCGACTGCCTGTTCCTAGCAGCGCGTGCTCCGGCTTTTCACTGTGCGCCTGGGTTTGTTGATCTGCTTACCTCGGCTTATCATCCTCTTTACCCATCTGCTTCTCGCTTTTTATTTATTTATTTTTATTTAAAGAGAAAAAAACAGTAAAAGGCTACAAGTAATACAGAATTTCAAGAGAAAAAATATACATTAAGAATTCACTAGTTAATAGATTACATTTTGTCATCTCAGAAACAGTTGTCCAGGTTACAAAATTAAAGCATACAAAGTGGACATTAATATAGTGAGATCGCAGACAGTTCTGTTCAATGATCCAACAAAAACTCAGTAATATGGTTTTCTATCCTACACACTTAAATATACTTGCAGTTGTATCCTTCAGATCACTTTCTTTCCTCTCTTTTTTACGATAGCAATCACACATTTTGGGTTCCATTACTCCCACAGTTTTTATAACTTTTTCTTTGAAGAGGAAAACAAAACAAAACAAAACAAAACAAAACAGAACAAAGAAAAACCCAATGTGACAAACCAAAACAGAGTCAGAACAGGAGGATGGACATAGTACATAATGCTAAAAGAGAATACTAGGTGATCAACAATGGTTACCATTATGCCTCTTGTTACCCTAAAAAGAGTTGCCTATATCAGCTGGCATAAAAGAATTGAATAAAATAGTACAGAACAAGACCAATAAAACCCACATTGGAGACCTTACAGGACTTCCAAAGAAGATAATAGTCAAACCATAATGGGCATCATACAATATCTTGTTGCCTTCAGAGTGGTTGCCTATACCCTCAAACTTGATACTATTGTTTTTTATCTTTTTGATATTGGGGTTTGGACACCTTTCCTGACAAGGCCTATGGCTTCATTTTTCGTGCAGTCGTGAGGTCAGACAGTGTGGTACATCAGCTTCACCAGGATGCCATCTATTCTCAGAATTCCCAGAACACACTGAGAGCAGGGGCTCCCATGTCCATGAAGGGTGCTCCACAGACTGCTGGCCAAAGTCAGGGGGCAAGAGACTATCAGGAACCTGGCCAAGAGTCCTGATTGTCAGTCTCCAGAACGTTGCGAGAAATACAAAAACAAAGACAAGTATCGCATTCCAACAATGGCTGGGAAGTCAGTGTCTCTGGATTTGACTTCCTCTACTCCCAAATAGCCACTATTTATTTGGTCTATACCGTGATAGGTGGGGCGAGCTAAGGGTTAAAATCCATCCAAAGATTCCAACTCCAGAGGGCATAAATAATCTTACATTCGAAGGATCTTGTCCTTGAGTATAATCCTGAGATGACTTATTACAAAGGCTTAGCTGACCCCATGCTTAGAAGAATCAGTGGGAAACCCCAGAGGGGTGCTGTCAGCAGTCCCAGGCCTTCCTCTCATCGCACAGGGAAGTGTGCAAAACCAGTCACTGTGAATTTGTGGTCCCCAACAGGAGACAAAATAATGAAAGAGAAGCGAGGAGAGAAAATACCAAAGCTAGGGTAAAAAAAACTAGTAAATAACAGCTGTGTCCAAAACCAGGCCCTGCGGTGGTGGTGCAGGACGCTGACAGAGCGACAGGAAGGCCAGGACTGTGGGTGTCTGATGGCGGGCTGTGGGCGGGGGGAAAGCCCCTGCGAACCTCTGACATGCGTGTACGCGGAAACCCCGTGGGGTGCTCCCTGGATGGAAGTGGATCTGCTCACGTCGAGCCCTTCACGCCCGAGACAGCCTTGGAAACAAGTCACCATGTGCAACCAAAACAGTGCACCTGCTTTTTTTTTTTTTGGTGCTGGGACTTGAGCTCCAGCCCTGTGCTTCCCGGGCAGGCGCTGTGCCCCTGAGTTGTGTCCCTGACCCACACCTGCAGTTTTGCTAAAACAAAGGCATATAAAAAGAAGACCATAACTGAATGCCAAAATTATGTGATATAATTGACAAGTTGAATGTAAAAGACTGTTACAGTGAGCTAAGAGCTACTGTTAAGCTTGTCTCATAGGATAACATGGGTTTTTAACATTTATGAACTCACTGAGATGAACACTGGATTCCTTTCTGGTAGGTCATTCAGGATACAAATTAAATCACTTAAATATATTTAAAAGATGTTTACTGTGACTCTTACTACAAAGAATACAGAGAAGGGGGAAAAACACACTGAGAAGCTGCTCACCATCCCCCAAGGAGGACAGAATTTAAAACGTTTGACACGATGCATGTTGGGGACGCTAGGAGAACTGGGCTTCCTTTTGAGGGACCCCAGACATGCTTAGCAAACTTAGGAACTGCACCGGAATCCGGCAGTGTTTCTCCTGGGAATGGAGCCTACAGATCCACCTGGAAGTACAGGGAATTATGTCAGCACAACTTCCTTTATGTGGCATTTGCTTTTGAGTAAAAACTGGAAAAATCTAAATATCCTTCATGATGGAGCAGTTGACCAAGTGGCAATGCTTTCTCACGGTGTGTGGGTCTCACTGTACAACTGTCAAGGAGGAACGAGGGAATTGTACCAACATGGGACGGTCACCAAGATGTACTGCTGAGTGAAAATAGTGCACAGCACTCCCATCCTGTTTGAGAGAAACTGAGGAGGACTGGCCAGAGAAAAGCATGTCTCTGAGGGAGGGAAACATTCCCAGGCCGAGTGAGAAAGGGAGATACTTGGGTGGAGTTTGAGGGAGCAGCTTAGTCCCTGTAAGAAGGGAGATGATTTCTGAGAACCAGAGAAGAAAGCTGGAGGCTGATTTGATGCCGAGTCCAGGGTGATGGGCCAGAACTGTTGAAATTCCCCGCACCTGCAGGCAGGGTTGGAGCCGATGGTCCAAGTGGGTTTCGTCCTGTGATAAGTTTCCAGGACAGCGTGGCTGCAGGAGCGCTAGGCCACTGACGGTGGAGGCCGCAGGGAAAGGAGAGGAAGCGTTCAGAGGAGATGGAGGGAGGGTCACCGGTGGGTGGTGGGGGCCACGGGAGTGATTCCCGCGATTGGGGGACTCATCACTCTAAAGCTTTTTGCATCATACATAAATGGTTTCCTCTGCTGGCTAACTTTAAGTTAGTGCCTAGTGAAGGAGAAGGAGAAGAAGAAGGAGGAGGAGGAGAAGAAGAAGAAGGAAGAAGAAAGAAAGAAAGAAAGAAAGAAAGAAAGAAAGAAAGAAAGAAAGAAAGAAAGAATATCCTTCTTCCTGACTGTGGTCTCAGCCAATGATTTCAACCGCTGCTCCCCACAGGCTGACTGGAGGGGACCCGGCTGAGAAAACGGGGAGGTGTCACCATCTGTTTAGCAGTTCAGCCCCCTGACCAAATGGGAAATTATGGGACAGAGACTTCATGGGAAAGTTGCCCTGTACGGCTTTTCCATCGCAGGGCATCCTGGATGGAACCGGGCCTGAATTCTGTCTCAAGGCAAATTCTAAGGAAAGTGGCTCTGGGGCTCAGTGGCAAAGTGAACCCCAGGGCTCCTGCCCTAGCAACGATTTCTCATTGTGTTCCTTCCCAGCTGTGCATCTGTATCCGGACTTCCAGCTACAGTTTTAAAACAAAAAAGAATGTCGACCCTGTTCCCCAAGAGGCGTAGAGGGAGACAGGTGATTTTTAGTCTATGCAGTTGTGCTGCGCTGTAGAAATATTTGATGTAAAACATTCACGACGTTACTCCCTTGTCTGGCACAGGATGTCAGAAAGCTTCTCTAGCCACGGTTGTACTTATATGGTGCCTAATTATTATTAATGTCAAGTACCAGGTGCAGTACAACTGGAGATGGGTCATAGCATGTGAAAGAAATATATAAAAGTAGATTTGAAATGTGTTTTGTTTACTAACCAGTATTTTACATTGGTCTTTGGGTAAAAAACTAAATGTGACATTTTTAATACTGTGTTTACTGTCTTCCAGAGAACATTAAAATTACTCAATCACATTGTAATTAAACAGCAGTTCCTCAAGGGAAGGCATCTGTGGTTAGATGAGGGGAGTCCCATAGTGGTACTAAGAGCTGATCCTGTTTTTCATTTTGGTTAGCCATCTGCCAGAGAAAAGTCTTAACTGAGAAAATCATCATATAAGAAAGATCTGCAGCCGTGTACCCCCAGAGGGCATCGTATTAAGCGCTGTGGACTCAAGCAAGTGATAGAAAAAATTCAGACAGGTTCAAAAGATTTTGCGGGCTGAGTCTCCACGGTGGGAGAACTCCTCCACACCGTAAGGAGCACACTGTAAGGCTGCCGGTCAGGCTGCTTTGTCTTCAGAGCCTGGGTGGGTTTTGTTTCAGGAATGACTCCCGTAAGGACAGAACCTATCTCTTCTCCTTTGCTTCATTTAAAAAGCCAAATGCAATCCATGTTCCTCATCCAATCCCAGTTTTTGCATTTTTCTACTTTGCAGTAGTTTCCTAAGATCGGACTATGTTCCTGCTGAATTTATCAATATAAATTAGTTTTCACTTCAAAATATCGCATGTTCATGAATATTTATTTTTACAGAACATACTCTTAATGATAAAAACCTTAGGAATATGGTATTTTCTTTCTGAAAAGGCACCGATTAGCAAAAGTACTAACTGCCCGAGAAGCCTTCCTCTTGACTTGGCATTCACTTTTATCTCTTGCAGAAAATTACGTTTAGTCGACACAGAAGAATTCCATAATCGCCAGGATGCCCTGGAGCTGTCAATCTTCCAGAACATCGTCATGAGACACATAGAGACTGCTAAAGACATTCTGCTTAAAACGTGAGCAGAATTCCACGTGGAATTCCACGTGAGCAAACATCAGTTTGGAAATGTGGCTGGCGGGGTCTATTGTATAACTGCTTGAGAAAATCCCGTTTGCACAACTTCTGGATCATTCCCCAGAGTCTCGTGTCTGGTTGTCTTTGTCGTGATGTGTCGCCAGGTGCTCAGTGCAGCCTAGATGTGCTGGGGCTGAAATGACCGTGACTCCCAGCTCCCTTTTCCCCTTCACAGCTGCTTTCTGAGTCCGGTCTGAGAGCAGTATGGGTTTCTGTGCAGGGAGGACCATGAACTAGGCAGAAATCTATCTGACAACTACTATTAAGACATGCAAGACATGTCTTTCCTCTTGATTTTGGATAAGGAATGCAAAAAGAGCTTAAATAATGATCAGGAGGGAAAGCTGCCTTGTGTAAGTGAGCTGACAGTCTTGATGGACATTTCACTTATCAAATGGTAATTAACCATCTCCAAGGACTCACCGTTCAGAATGTTCTAGCCACGTGGGGTAATTAATGCTGTAAAATGGCAGACAGTATACCCTGGAGTGACGTGGAAAATTATCTCTATAATGGGTCATTAATTCATGTAAGAAGGACATGAAAATTAGATCAGATTTAAAATGAGAAAGGGCTCTAAACTTCTAGCATAGCTTCTGATCCCCAGACATCACTTAGAAATGCATATTGACCACTTTAGATTAAACCCTCCCTTTGCCTTTGTTCTCCAGAGTCAGGATCAAATTCTTTGTTTGATATTACTTGAAAGAATTTTAGCTTTTAATTACATGTTATGCAACATAAAAACTGAGAAGCTAAAAGTGAAATCTCATAATTAATTAAAAAGAAGAAATGACCTCTGAACACGTAAGTTGATCCATGCCTCAGGGTGACGCCCCAGGAATACACTACCACTGCCAATTTTAGCAAAATGCTTGTTGAAGTAGAAAGCACAGTACAAACCTTTACTGAAAAATTTGTGCTGAGAAAGATTGGTTAGCTCATCTCTTAGTGCTTCCTAATGGACTGTACAGGAGAGAGCTGACTGTCTGCACTTCAGCGGCCAGAGTGTTTACCTTGTCTGAAAATGCAGACCATTGGCTCGCAGTGGAGCCCTGCTTAGCCAGTGACTGACGATGACGCTGCGCCAAACCTGAAATCTGTCCCTGTCCTCGTCTCCCTGCCTCAGCAGTCGTGTGGCCCGGTGTGCAGCCTTCTGGAAACCTGTTTCTGTGCCCTGGGACTTCCCTAGTTCTTCTTCATGTCTTTTTCTGACGCCACCATCTCATCATTCCCTAAAAGTGGGGGCTCCCTCGGTCTCGTCTCTTTTCTGTATGTTCTCTTCAGAGTTTCATGACTTCCTCTGCTGTGGCTGTTTTAGAGACCTCCCGTGTTTTCTGAGTGCTAGGCCGTTATTCCTAATTTTATACTGAGGTCGTGTTAGCAGGTCTGTAACCATGTTTATCTCTCTCTCCCAATCCAGCTAGTCTTCCTGCTGTAACCCTTTCCTAGGCGATGTAGAAATCGTGTGAGGACGTTTTTGGGGTCTCTTTTGTTCGTTGCATACACCCTCGTCACCACTACCCTGCCCCACACCCTATCCTGGGTCCTGCTGTTCTGTTTTCTGTTGTGATACAATTCACTTATCAGAAAATCCGCCAGCATGCTGGCTGTAGCTGAGGGGCTCACATACATTCCCATCACTACCGACTCCAGAGCGCGCTCCTTACGGCCGAGGAGACCCGGGTTCCATCGGGAGTCACTTCCTATTCTGTGGCTGCTCGCTGCTGTGAACGCTTGGTCTGTATGGACGTGTTCTCGGTTTTCTTAGGCACATACCTAGGTAGGAATAGGATTTCTGGTATATATGGTAACGCTGTGTCTAACTTTTTGAGGAACTGACAGTGGGATGGCAGAATTTTACATTCCTATCCAAATATGTGAAGATTCCAGTTTCTTCACATCCGTGCCTGCAGGCACGGTCTTTCTTTCTGATTATTGCCATTCTGGTGGGTGTGAAGTAGCATCTTACTGTGGGTTTCATTTGCCCTTACTGACTGGTTCATTGGGCATCTTTGTACAGGTTTTGTTTATTGCCTCATGATAAATGTCTATCCAAATCCTTTACCTTACTGAGTGTCAAATTATCTGACTTCATTGTAATGCTGGCCAGGGTTGAAAACTTCACTGTCCGCTGATGTGCATGTGAAATCGCACTGCTGGTTTATCATGGAGATGCCGCCCTTTTCCATGCACACGCATTTGAAACTTTGTTTTAAATCAGTCCCTCCCCAGGGAAAGAGCAAATAAAATGCATGACTGTGTCAATTTGTCTTTAAGCAACTGTTAACAGAATAGCATGAGATACTTAGTGGGTTTAAGCTCTTTAACCAGTTATTTATTATAGCTCTAAAGTAACAAATACGTCCCCTGGAGAACAGTCAAGAGACTGAAGAAAAGCATCTCACAATGTCCAGTAGAGGTAATTCTCATATTGCTTCAAAAAGTGCAGGAAGCACTTATTCTGGAAATAAGATTTATGTCTTTATAACAGCCCATCATGGAGTTATTTTTTACTGGTTATGATTTAAAATTTCTTTCCTAAGAGAAGTGAAATATTCCAGCACTCACATTTCCGAGACTGGATAATGTCACTTAGCAATATCCTTCTTTATGATGACCTTTGGATGTCTAGAAATTACTGTTGATGCTTCATATAAGAAGAGTAATTCACCGAGAGTGCTGACTTTTAAAAAGTCTTTTGTTCTTTCAAGGTGGTTTCCAGAAGTGCAGAATATTTACTACCAAGGTAATAAAAAAAAGCAGCTGCCCACCAGTGACAACAGTGCCAAACTGGAATCTTTTTTCAACTGCGCGGCTACGCTCATGACCCTACAGCTGCAGGACCTGGCTTTGGTCTCCATGCAGGATTTCACGGACCTGATTGCGCAGCCCGCAGTGAGTCTGGCCCCGCCGCTTCCTGCCACGCGTGGTGCAGTTCTTTCAGGGAGGAAGACGAGAAGCTGTCTTTAGCACTAGAGAGCAGGAAGTACATCTTTAGACCTGTCGTACTTAAGCTGTGCAAAACAGTTAATGTCAACTCGCATATTCAGGATATGTGATTAGTATCCTGGTAGGCAAAGATTAGGGGAAATAGGTAGAAACTCCCACTTGGGAAATTGCGGTCATGAAGGCTGGGGAGAATTCCATGGGCAGTGCTTTCTCTCTCTCTCTCTCTCTCTTTCTCTCTCTCTCTCTCTCTCTGTCTCTCTCTCGCTCTCTCTCTCGCTCTCTCTCTCGCTCTCTCTCTCGCTCTCTCTCTCTTTCTTGGGAAGAACTTCCCCTTAGTTATGGTGTGGACAGGGCCTTGGAATTGGAACTTCTTTCTCTTGGGTTTAATCTTCCATGGTTCCAAAACCCACTGCTCTGTGTGTCGTCCTGTTTTTGAGACCTGGGCCCTGTGGCTAACTTGGAGGAAGGAGTCCGCCGTGTGGTCTGCTTTCAGCCGAGCTCCTGGCTGCACCGTGGAGAGCGTGGGAGCTGGTGTGGGTGTCTACAGAGTATTTACACATACACCTATAGCTATGGCTAAATGTCCTTCCCAGTGGTTATACATGTAAACATTTTTATCTTTTTCATAGGATTCTATCAGAGCTTTTGAACACCCCGGTTTCATCATGAGGCTGATTCTTGACAATGACACCATTAAATTTGAACCTGAGTTTGAGGAATACATAGATATCCTCCAAAATGTTTACGATGTCATGATTAAGGTTGTCAACTTTGTGCCAAGAGTTGAGACAAAATTGTATTCCAAATGGGTAAGTGAAAGGACCTTCTTTTTACTTAGGTTTGCATGGTGGCGTTCACCTCTCGTAACTTCTGGAAGGTATCCATAGGTGCCCTCTGCTTCCCAGAACATGAATTGCCCAGGAAGATCAGCTCAGAAAAAAAAATTACATGACCATTTTTGCATTAGCTTCTCTTGTAGAATAGATGACCTTTCCTAGGCCCCTGCTGGACACCCCCGCAAGCTTGCCGCGGGTCAGGACTCCCGATGGGTGTCTGCCTAGGACTTGGGCCAATGGCTGCAGGCCTCCATCACATTTCCCCAGCTCTGTACAGCTGTCCTGTGCTCTGTCACCCACCTCATTACTTAAACTTTCTCCGCTAAATAGCGCGCTCTTGTCTCTGTAGATCCTGTCTAAGCCATTTAAATATTACACGGACATCTGAAGCTTCCTTATCTTTCAGGGTTTTTGAGTTTTGTAACATTAGTCAGTACCATCTTCTCCCTGTTATGTTTTTAAAAATAGTTTATAGCTGTTATATGTATATCCAAGAGCACAGGGTACTAGCGGGTCAAGGTTTAAATAGCCACAGAGCTAACACCTGTGCAGCTGTAGCCCGGTGTAAGGAGCAGATACCTCTGATGCCGGAATGCTCCCATTACCCCTTCCTGTCCTCTGACCTCTAGCAAAGGAATCATCATCTTGAATCTTGAAGTTATTATTCTTAATTTTTAAAAAGGAGACTTACTAATATCTGCATATGCCTAAACTATTTGTTTAGATTTTCCATATCTTTGTAAAAGTTGAATCATTTGATGTGCAACTTGTGCCTTGCTTTATTGCACAGAACATTGTGATTGTAAAAATTTGCATTCTGGAGGCTGGGGATTTAGCTCAGCGACATAAGCACCTGCCTTGCAAGCAGGCGGTCGTGAGTTTGATCCCTGGTACCGATAAAAAAAAGCGAAAAAGACAAAAGAAAAAAAAAGTTTGCATTCTGAGCATATTATCCTCCTCACTGAGTTCCTAATTTTTACTTTCTTGTTCTCAGGAATTCTAATAAGGTCTTTTTAAAATAGGTCCAATCACTTTTGATAATTCTTTGGATTTACTCATGTGTTCACTAAGCGTTTGGTTCTTTTGATATGTATTAATTTTTGACTGTTTTATATGTAATAATTCCAGCATCTGTCTTCTTGGTCTGTCTGATTCTGCTGTTGGCTGACGCATGATCCTGGTGATTTATTGCTCTGGCTTTTTCCTCATTATGACAGGATCATGAGATGTGATCAGATGATATGCTGAATATGTAAGTGACAAGAAGTGTGCCACAGTGAAGGTCATACTGCCTTCAGTCCCCCTCCAAGTCCTCCCGTCTTTGAGCACACTTTCCCATTGTTTCTGGCACTTTCTGAAGCAGTTCTGGGGTCCTGTTCAGGGAAGGTCTTGAGTTGCTCTGTCCCCACGGTCCTGATGTTCTGAATTGATTCCGAATATTTACTTGTCACAGTCATTTGGACTCCGGGGAGAGCCAGCAGTCAGGGTGCCAGGCCCCGTGGGTGAAGTGGATGAATCTCAGCGTGTTTCCACGAGCCTGCTGTCAGATGGCACTGGGCGGCAACATCCACTGTGTTTGTTTTTGATCATGGACTCTTACAAGAGCAGACTCCAGGGCTGCTCCAGGAGTGGCCAGGGTGGGAGGAGCGTGTGTAAAGCGAACTGGAGGATTTCGAGAGGACGTAGCAAGTGTGTCTCTCTTACTCTACTGAGTTTTTAAATTTACATAGTAAATGTTTATTTCAAGCACTGCTAGTCCACATACGGACTTTGTGAGTTGTCAACTGTGGGCACAACTTTTTTTTTTTTGGTACCAGGGATCAAACTCATGGCCTCGCACTTGCCAGACAGGTTCTTATGCCATGAGCTAAATCCCTGGCCCTAGGGTACAACTTTTTAAAGTTGTTCTCTTCTTTACTAAGAAACGAGGCAAAAACAGTTCACTTCCCTTACTTTCCTCCCCTCAAGGGCTCTTTCTCAGATCTAAAGATTTGTCTCCTTGGATCCTTCATTTTCTGTGTTCGCCTCCGGTGTTCTGGCTGTGCGTGGGGTTGACTCAAGTCCTCCTGGGCTGTGGCTTTGTCCCTGGTGGCCCCCCATTCCTGCTTGGCTGTGCTGGGGAGACCAGGGGGACCAGCGACCTCCCTCCTCACTCTGGGGCCTCCCCCAGTGCTTCCCCTCTCCCGTGGCCCTGTGGCTTTCCTGTCCGGTTAGCTTCCCAGCTGTCCACGGGAATATGAGGTGAGCCCTGTTCAGCAGATTTGTGTGTTTGGAACCAGTTGTTTCCTGGGTATCAGTTCTTTACACTGTCCTAATTAGAGGTCTTCAGACACTTACTGTTTGCTTTGTTCTGTGTGTAATTCCAACACATTGGTAGCCTTCTTTTCTGTCTCAATATCCTGCCTTCTCCAAGAAGCATTGGAGGTACCCAGGGAAACAGACAAATATAAAGTTACGGGGAATTGCCCAGCTCAAGACGAGGCAGGACCCATTATAATCCCTCGAGTGCACACACTGGAGGTGATTTTGTGACTCTAAGGAGTGGCTCCAAGTTTCCTGGGTTCCTAATGTGGGGAGGACACTGTGACAGGTCTAGAGCAGGATGAATGAGGACCCTCGGAAGAAGACGTCTGGGAAGAAGAATGGTGTTTTCATTGGTGTCGCGCTCTGAGAGGTGGATCTTTCCTGGAACCTGGAAATAACTCTGACACTCCATACACCAGCAATCCCTGGTGACATTTTCCAGTACAAATCCAGAGGCTCCCTGTGACCCCACCCCGGTGCACCCCTCGGTGATTCTGACAGTCAGGACTGGAAACGAGCGACAGCGTTTCGAGTGGGCTGATTGGACACAGACGCAGGGATCTGCGGCAGAAACTGCAGAAGTGGTGTTTGTTCATGTTGTTGACTGGCAAGCCAAGCTCTCCTACAAAACAGCGTTTCTCTGAACCAACAGGAGTGATCAGGCTTTGTATCAAAATTGTAATTTCTATTGCAGTTCTGAAGCCCTTGTATTTAATTGTATTTTGAAAGCTGGATCTATGGACTCTACAAGCTAGACAAATGAATAAATTTAAGACACATTCTATGAGTATTAATGAGTTTCACAGGAACTAGTAATTTCATATTGCATGCCCTACATGGCAGAGGCAGCATAATCCTAAAGGTTTTGTTTCAGAAGCAATGAGGCCAGAGTGCTGCTAAGCACTGGGGCGCAGGGATGGTGGAGAGGATGCGCTGGTACCTCTTGCAGCTGGGCGCCCTAAGCACGATGAGTTCTTGCAGTGCCCACAGAGGGCGCAGCCGGCTAATGCCCCACAGCCGAGCTATACACGCAGTTCTCTAGGATTCCAGCACTGCGGATTATCCACTGGATGTCACTGTTAAAAATCCCTTCTTCTGGTAGATTTCTGGAGAGTAATAATTTAGGGGACAGTTGTCGACATAGTTATTCTCTTAAACACAAAAGATCTGTTTGAGTCCTTCAAATTGTCCTCTGGCCCATTCTCGCCCTCTGTTATTCTGTGATAGCAGAACACAACCTATTATTCTTACTGTACGTGTGCCATGCACTGTCATTGCCACCATCTTGGGGAGGTGTCCATGTGCCACTGCAGCTTGATCCCCTCTGCCCCCTCTTCCTACCCATCCCCTTCCCATCTCTGCAGAAAACAAACTTTGCAGCTGAGACCTTTAATCTGTCTGGGTGTTTGCTCACGCAGTTGCAGACTGACGGTTAATGGGTGGACCAGCAGTCCTTCTCTGTTCTAGATAGATTTCTCCTCATGAGGAAAAAGATCTGTGACCAGAGAATATGATGATCTGACCTTGTAATACCAGCACTTGGGAGGCTGAAGCAGGAGGATTGCTAGGCATTGGAGGCCAGCCTGAGCTCCATAGTGAGTTCAAGGCCAGCCTGGGCTGCACAGCGAGTAGGAACAAAACAAAACAAGGCATGATGATATGACTTTGAGCCAGTGTATGTTGTTTTAATAACAGGCATTGTAGTGGGTTAAACAGGTAACATATAATTGCCACCCAAATAAAATGTGCGTTTTGCTGGTTATATTCTAAATCTTATTTTGTATATATTTTCAAGCAACTGTGCTCTCATCCACAGTGAAAAACTAGGTTGCCTGAGGGAAGACAAAAAATTATATGAGACTCCTCACTTTAAAGCAATGCTTTGATTAGATTGAATATCTGCCTATGGATTGGAGATTAGGACATACAAGACACTGTAATTTTAAAAAGCAACATCACTCTAATATTGATGTCATTACAAAACTAAGTGCCCTGGATACTTCAGCTTCAAGCCTTTAAAAGAAGTACACAATTCCCTCCCCTTTTCCAGGAAAGTAAGTCTAAGCCGACCACCTTGAAGCCCATCATCCTGGATGAAATCGTAGGTGCTCACAAGAACAAGATCAAGGAGGTGGTCCAGAGGGAGAGTGTGGCCCCTTCCGAGCACCTGCGACTCTATGACAAGTACGACTTCTTAATTTCCAAGAAAGCTGAGAAGGACACTGACTTGTTCCTGGAGGAAAATCACCATTATGAGAGAATAATAGAGGAAATCCGCAAATACCAAAAACTAGTAGAGGAAATACAGTACACCTCTAGAAAGGTAAGCGGCTGGTTTTACGTAACTGTGCTATGAACCTTGTCCTATGAGCATTTCTCTGTGTCATTAGCACGCAGTTTCAGGACGCGGCGGAGGAATCAGAGTCACTGTCCTCTGGAGTGTGTGTGATGAGCTTGTGGTATGCGTCACACTGTAGCAAAGCCTGGCCGTGGGGTCGTAAGGACAGATGTGACTTTTGTGTGCAGGTAGCTGAGACCCTAATTTCACAGAGCTGATTAGAAAGTGTTTATATAATTCCAGGAACCTAATTTTTTTTTTTGCTTCGTGCCTATGAACCCTTTGGAAACTATAGTCATTACATCAAAATGTGCTTGCTTCTGTGTAGTAGGTACTACTAATAATTTAACATTTTCTTCTTTTGTCCTTTTAAACTGCCAAATTTTCTGCCATGACCATCTATTGCTTTTTTATACAGAGAAATTACAACATTTGAACCCTACCTTATTTATTTCGCAGTATCTCAGTTTTCTGAGGTTTTTAGGTCACTCATGCAAAACCCACTCTGAGGGAAATGACGAAATGATGAGATCTTTTCCGATTTTTTCCTCTCACGTGTACTAAACGTTTCCTGGGTCCCAGAGTGTCCGCCTCGGAATGTTTGAGGCGCACTGCGAAGAACTGATCAGAGCTTTGGCGAAACGGGCGGAGGCTATTTGTGGGAGGCTGATCGTGAAGATGTACAAAGACCACCAGGACCTGAGCGTGAGGTATTTATGGGGTGTGTTCATGCTTTTAAGGAAGAGATGTCAGGGAAAGTGACTGTCACTTGGCGGGAGCAGTGGGTGAGAGCCCTGGCATGAGTGATCCAAAACTTTGGGTTTGTAAATGTGTGGGGCTTCGAAATGGGTTCCCACCACGGTGGTCACCAGTCAGAAAGATCCTCGAATTTGGCATTTCTTCTGCTGTAATTTCGCCTTGAGGCCCCGAGTACCTGTGGTCTTGAGTGGGAACTCTTCTGTGGCTAGGCTGACCCAGGCTGAGCAGGCACACTCATGGTGATATGAAGGAGATATCTGCTTATGTAGGACACGGAGTGTCACCGGTGTCACTGCTCTCCCAGTGACTGTGCTGCTGTGGCTTTCCTATCTGTTACAGGGGAAAACACTAGAAATACTCAGACCATGTTTATGACTATGGTATCAGAGAAGGTAATAGATCATTGAAAACATTTATCTTTAGAAGGGAGCTTTATTTTATAACCTTGCGGTAGGCATAGGCCCCAGGCTTAAAATATGAATAAATCTGCAGCAGGAACTTGCAATGTAGAAAGGGAAATAAAACACAAGCCAGCACCTTAGACGCCGGCCTGGAACTCTGCACCAGCAGTGGAGTGGGAGCAGAGAGACGATTTCCTCCTTCAGGGCAGAGTGTGGGAAGAGGGAGAATCAGAGAGCCCAGAGGTGAGGGATGTGTGAACTCATGTGCAGAGGAGTGTGACAGGGAGCCCAGGGCCCTGGAGGTAGGTGAGAACTCTTCATAATGTGTGTGGCCTTCACACTCCCTGGGGGAGGAGAGGTGCCTGCTTAGGGTCCTGACTGCCACACTGGATCACAGCGCCGCGGCTGCCACTCCAGGTCATGTATCTCTGCATCCCCGTCCCTTCATACTGTGTTTGTGGATGTAATAACTGTTCATTACACTCGTGTTGACTGACTAAAGGAACACAAACTTGCATTTCATTCCTGAGATGACATGCTAACAGATACAATCTTACTTTTCTCATGCTTTGGAGGACTGAGATAGTAAACAGGAAGACTTTTGGGTGTGAAACTTAACCATGCATCTTTTAATAATGGATTCTGCCTGGCATTGTAGGTTGTGTGAGGAGTTTGAGAAGATAGCTGAAAAAGCTCTCAGCACCCCTCCAAACACGGCAGAACTAATGGCGATGAAGGTATCGTTACTGAGCACTGCGGCTGTGCGTGCGTCCGTCTAAGTCACTCTGACAGCGGCAGACGAGGCGAAAAGTCATAGCTTGATGAGGGCTTTGGACTGGACTCCCCAGGACTCCTCCCCTGTCCTGGTGGGGTGGACTGGACTCCTGGGGCTCCTCCTCTGTCCTGGTGGGGTGGACTGGACTCCCCAGGGCTCCTCCTCTGTCCCGGTGGGGTGGACTGGACTCCCCAGGGCTCCTCCTCTGTCCCAGTGGGGTCCTCTCTGGGTGCCTCGCCGAGCAGGGACAGCTGCGTCAGGGGTCAGTTGGTGGAACCGCTGTCCAGCAGTTCACCTTGGCTCCATCCCAGCGTGTCTCCATCCCAGCGGGCTGAGCTGGGCGTTCTCTCACAGCGTGACAGACATAGAACACATAGTTTTCCAAGTCCCTGTTTGTGTCACACTAGCCAACATCTCACTGACCTAGGAAGTCGGCGTGGGGGGACACTCGGGGTGCAGACAGCAGAGAGGTGAAGGACTGGCTGGCTAAGGCACACACCCACCTGTGAGAGGCGGGGCAGGACTGTAGGGTCCCGAGCTGACCTCGGTCTCGGTGGGGACCACGCGGTCCCTCCTGACTTTTCCATCAGCGAATATTTAATTCTTATCAGATGTTTAACTTTGCTTTCTATGAGGGCTGTATTTTGTTATAAATTAGTGTTTTATGTAATAGTTTGCAGAGAAATGCATGACCCTTTTGGCATAGAACCTATTCCATGCTGACACCGTCTCACTGGGATGGCTTTTCATGTTGCTTCTGTGAAGTCTGCCTAACGGCAAATAAAATGATGCAAAACAACTGTTAACCACCGTTTCATTTTCTTCTCTTTTCATTCTGGTAACATTAAGCCTTTATTGGATTCTTTTTTTCTAGTGTTCCAAAAATCCAAAATAAAATTCTCTTATTTTTAGATTTTAAAATATTTAAGTGGAACTCTCAAAACTATTCAAAACTTTGAATAGGTAGCAGTTCTAGTGATTATATATACCCACTCTTTATTCACTTAAACAAGTTTCTTAAAAACATTAGAGCCAGTTTTAATGTAGAAGTTATTTGGCTTTAGATTGGGATTTTCAGCATGTCTGTGTGTGTGCCTGCATGTGCGTGTGTGTGTAGAACACAGAGGCCCACTACTGTTCTTCCTGTAATATCTTGTATTTTATATTAGTTATCATAGGCCAAAATGAGATTCTTTGGCAATGGATGATTGCAAGTGTAGCTGGTTCTTAAACCGTGAGTTTATCTTCATTAAAGGAAAATTACTTTGGAAAAGTGGCTCCTGGCTATAAAGAGCATCATTTGTTTGCCCTCAGAGCCATCACTGAAAGCAATTAGGAATTGGGACTTATTTACTGTGAATTTCCCTTATACACAATAATCTTTAATAGAATTAATAAACAGCATTCATTGTGCAGTTTTTAAAATATTTCCATATCATAAAAAAGTTTATTCCTGCAGAGCTGGTAAATTCAATTAATATAGAAATCAGTGATATGTCAGAATATGGGAAAATAAAAACCCATCTGACTACAAAGAAAGCTGACTGAGTTAAAATGCACGTGTATTTCCAGGGAGACATCTGTTGTTTGTGAAAACCACTGTGGTTCAATCCTATTTATTTGGATTTGCACCATGAAAACACAGCCTCAGTGGAATATTGTCATATTGATGAAATAGTTATAGACAGTTTTACTTTTTAATTGTAAAAGCATCAACTTAAAACAATGCAGAATTGTGCAAATGTTAGAAGTTTCTTCTTTTCCATAATTACTTTCTTACTGTTCTTTGTACTTAGCTGTGAAATCTTCTCTTTCCAAACTTGTTTTTCTTTGTGTCTGCAAAGAAGTAAGATCTGAAGTACAAGGCACAGTGAGATAGAGGGAGATTAAAAACTTTTTAAAAAGAGCTTTGACATTTTTTTATTTTAAAAAGTTGAGAGTTGTTACTTCGTGGACAGAAGCTGGGTCACAAGGTAGACAAGGCGAACTAGGTAGCTACAAGTAGTTGCCCTTTTTCTCATTTTTTGCTGGGTAGCAGTTTTCTTTGGGAACCTGCATCATTAAAATTTTATAAATTTAATATTTGAAAAAAGAATTCTGAGAGGATGCATACAACTAACCGTCGGCTGTGTATATTTACCTTGTTTCCATGCATTCTAGACGCTCCTCACTTTCTGAACTCCTTACCAATCTGTCCAGTTGGGTTTTCCTTTCTTCCTTTTCTTTGTACAGGCAGAGCGTCCGTCTGTGTTGCCAGAGCCGCAGGCTCTTCCTCCCTCCGAGGTTTTGTGCTCTGCCGGGCATGCAGCTGGCCCCAGCTTCAAAGCCGGGTCTTTCTCCCTTCCCCCACCCTGCTGACGCCCTGCCAGCCATTCATTGCCCCAGGCCCACCGTGAACCCCACTTTGCAGCTTTCTCTGCTTACTCTGCTTTATTCACCCTGCCCAACCTTCCGCTGCACCCCTCTCTACCCTCTCCCCCACCTCACATCTCCATCCCCTGCCGCAAGCCTGGGCCTGTCCAGCATCCTCCCTGCTAAACCTTTGCAGTTTTCTCTCTCTCTCTGCAGCGCCTCGAGGCAAACCTCAGGGGATTTTTGCTGGGTTTTTTGGTCACTCTGCATCTGGCACAGTCTTGGGCACTTGGTGCCCCCCCCCCCCCAGAATGTAACTCTGGAGGAATAAATGAAATCATCAGCGAGCATCTGGTTCTTACCTTCCACAAACCGCAGCATCCCCTCTGGTTTTCTGTTGCTTTCTATGTGTTCTTAAGTATTTTTAATTTTTTTTTCTCTGCCTTCGTAGTCAGGTGTCTGGGAGAAGAGAAGTAAAGTACTCTGCAGACCCTGATCGGGAACCAAAAGCCTTTCTTTCTAGTGAGATCAGGCATATTCATGCAGTGTACTTCCTCGGGCTGGTTTTGACCCTGGCTGCTCTCTAAAGCGTCATCTGTCACTTTGGCTTTCCCCCAGGCTTACATTCAGAAAGTAGAGGCAACTGATATGGTTGAACTGGGACAGAAATTAGTGGACTCCAAAAACTGCCTGGCCTTCCTCATTGAGTGCACCAACTTTTCTCCTGCGGACATCAGGCTAAACAATAGCGTTTTCCAGTGGTACGGAAGGATGGGCGAAATCTTTGAAGAACACAGGAAAATCATTAAAGAGAAGACGGAACAGTATCAAGACGGTCTTAAGGTAGGCATCATGGGTACCGATTTTTAAATGATTTTTGCTCTCTGAAAATGTTTCAATTTTAGCTTTTTACGTAGCACAGCCATCTTAATTTCACAGGCCATAGATAATGCTTTCTCCTACTATAAAAGAAGAAAATAGTGCTCATAAACTGGGGTCTTTTATGATGCTTGTTGGATGATTAAGAAGTGAGTGGGTAGTTTATTGATCTCTGTGGGATCTTATCTTGATTTTTCAAGGTACTAGGGAGAAAACTTTGGAAAACATTGCCCACATAACTCTTACTAAAACTGTATATACCTGTAGAGTTCATGGTGCTGAGTTCAGGTTTTTCTTGTTGGTGGGACATCATTGTTTTCTTGGTGACCTGCTCCTTTATGTCACATAATCACGCGAACTCTCCAAAACACTGTACCCAAAGCCAGACCTTTCTTTTTGAGCTTTCCCTATCACATACATTTGGGATTGCCTTTGTCTGTCCGTCCAGCCTTGCCTCCTTCCTACCTGAACTCCTTATCTGTGCCCTGGTCCATAGCCGCAAGCGAGGGTCAAGTCCCTGCTTCCCCCTCTGTCTCCACTCCTGTCTCTCCCCAGCAAGCTTGTCTCCCTGGCGTACCCCTGGGGTTCAGAATGGCATCTCCTTTGCTTTCATGGTACCAGAGAGCATCTCCCGTGGGCCCAAGGTCGGGTCACAGCGCTGCTGTTCTCAGTCTGTCTCCCTGTAGGTCCTTGAGAGCAAGGTTGTTTCATTTTTGTTTTTTTTCCATTCACATCTACTCACAAGCACCGTGACTGACACAGTGTCTTAGTCCGCTTTACGCTCCTGTAGCAGAATCCCTGAGACCTGGCAATTCACAAAGACCAGAAGTTTATTTCTCACACTTCTGGCAGCTGGAAGTCCATGTCTGAGGGGTCCCATCCTGATTGCCGGATTAGTCCACAGCAGGAGGCAGAAGGACAAGCATTCAGAAACACCCTCATGAGAAAGAGGGCGTGACACAGCGAGGGCAGGGGAGGGTGGAGGAGATGGCGGGGAGCCTACCCTTTTATCAGCCCCCTCCCGTGATAATGGCGTCAGTCCATGTGTGAGGACTTGGCTGTCACCTTGTGAGGGACCCAGCTTTCAACTGGATGCCGCTGGGGATTTGTCTCCGACGTGGGGTGTTTGGGGGCCACATGGAAACCAGAGCACACAGGACCCCGTGAGCACCCCATCCCAGCCCCCTGAATAAGTGGCTGCGTAGTCCCAGTTTCGTTTTACAGGTGAAGAAACAAAGATCCCCACAGATTGAGAGACTGGATCCAGGGGCTGGGGATTTAGCTCAGCGGCATAAGCTGCCTGCCTTGCAAGCAGGCAGTCGTGAGTTTGATCCCTGGTACCAATAAAAAGGAAAAAGACAAAAAAAAAAAAAAAAGAGACTGGATCCAGGTTGGCCAGCCGAGACAGGTTTTGATCACAAGCCCCGCGCTGTCTCTGCCCAATTAGAAAGTACAATTAATTCATGGAATGTGTGTTCTGGAGAATAATTCATACACTCAAAAAATCTTTTGTTTTGAAAACTCCTAAGATCTGGCCATGGTGGGACTCAGGCAGCTTATTCTTCTGCCCTCTTGGTAAGCAACCCCTGCGAGGGCCAGGAGGAGAACCATTGGTTCCTGTGAGCCTGCTGCCACGCGGGCTGAAAATCAAGCCCCCCCACCCCCACCCCCCGCCTCATAGCTACTGGGGATAGATGTCTCAGCATCTCTTGGGAGGATGACCATATGCAGTGTAGCAAATATGGGGGATTTCCTTCTATCTTCTGTTTGAAGGCATAGGTTGTTTTCACTGTTTTGCTATATTTCTTTTGCTGTATTCAGTATTCTCAGTTGGTTTTACAATGTTCTATTTTTGGTTTGATTTTGCTATACCTAATTGACTGGACAACTATTGTGAGATATACCATAGTACCTATTACTACCATCCCAGTATCCTGCTGTGAAATCCTGTACCAATTTCACTGCATTGTCTCGATTGGCTTTGTTCTGTCTTGGGTTATTACATTTTTATTACTTTCAAAATAAAATTTAAAAAAATCTTTTATTTTAAACTATGGACTATATCTCTGATGTACGTTTAAGGTATGTCAAAAAATTTAAATATGTGAGAAAAGATCACTGGTAGTAAATGTTAGATGTTTAAGTTATTATATGATAGAATGTTAGAAGATGACATGGCTGGGTGTCCCAGAATTGTCTGTACTTTATTGTAAATCATAATATTTCAAAAAAACTACACATAATGTCAGTAAACTCTTCCTCTTGTTTTCCCTCCCCAAATGACCAGAACAATACACTTGCCAGGTAATTACAGAAAAGAGTACAGACCTAGATAATCTGTAAATTTTTTAAAAATGTATTTTTGAGTAACCTTGTTTGATTTCTTATATTTCATTCATAGCTATTTTTAGAGCTATTTAATTTGTGATACCAATGATCATAATAAGAATTTCTCAGTAAACACATATTTTATGCTGGAACAAAAACTGTTAGGCTTTAAAATCTAGATTTATTTACCTTATACTTTCCAGAATGAGAGCTCATGGGACAACAAAACAACCAGCCTTGGAATATCATGTTTAAGGGTTGTTCTTGGAACTGGTGTCTAAGAATTGGAGAAATTCAGTTTTTCCCAGTTATCTTTGAAACTGCAAGAGATATTTCTGCAGCCTTCAAAGGAAGCAAACCAGAGTATTCTTTTAGTCCCTAAATATTATTCTGAGATTTTTAAAAATACTGCATCGTTTGTTGGCATATATCCTTTAGCATACTGAAGAATACTGCTGTTTAGTACATTCTTAGCCAATGTGTCCGTTAGAACTTCCTGTGTAGATAACCCCGAGTATGCTTCTCAGTCTCAGAATTTAAGGAACCTCAGTGCAATGATTTAAACTTCCAAGTTCTGCGTGTGCTTTCGATCTCAAACCTCTTCCAGATGAGCTCTTTATTTCTGTTGGTGACACAATGCAATAATCATCCTGATAATCTTTACAAGTATTTAAATTTTCTCCTGATGCCTGGGGATTTTAACTTCTCACAGTGGTAACCAGGCACGCTGTTTCTCTTAGTTGCGGTGTGAGCGGTTTGTGGAGGAGCTGGAGAGCTACGCCAAGCAGGCCGAGGAGTTCTACAGCTTCGGGGACCTGCAGGACATGCAGCGCTACCTGAAGAAGGCGCAGGCACTGAACACCAAGCTGGACGCAGCTGCGGACAAGGTCTGCGTTAGACAGGCTTAGGGGGAAAGCCGGTTCACAGAAAAAGGTGACTTCAGAGTGGGCCTTGCAGAAGCAGATTGCAGTACAGCAGGGTGTGATGACATATACCTGCAATCCCAGTGATCTGGAGGCAGAGGCAGGAGGATTGTTGTGAGTCCTGGGCTACAATTTGAGCTCAAGGCCAGCCTGAGCTGCACAGCGAGACCCTGTCTCAAAAAAAAGACACACACACACACACACACACACAAGAAAGTAAAGAAAAGAGAAATAGATTGAAGCAAAAGCAATTGGATTATATTTAATTATCGCATAAGAGAAATGACCCAAGTAGACCTTTCCTGCTTCATACCGGAATGACATGGTTGTTTCCATTGGTGTTAGCGCATCTCGGGACCTTCCTCTTTGTCTTAAAGATACAGTTGTGTTTTGGTCTGTGTCTCCATTTTTATTTTGCATTTTTAAATCATCTGCACTGTGGTTCTTCCTTCAGAGTTGGGACCATAGTTTTGAACAGTAACGGGGGAGTCATCATGGCTGGTTGTTCATAGAAGCCTACATGGGTATTTCAGCGGCATTTTTAAGTTGGACTTGCTGTGTTTTCTTCTCAGCCGCTGTGTTCCCAACCCTGCTGTTTCAAAATCAGCTTTCTTGTTAGGAGAAGCCAAAAGAGACAAAACATGACCTTTGGCCACATATTGTGTTGGAGAGTTTTAACTCTAGTTTTTATGAAAAGGAAAAATGTGAAAGCAGACTATCATAAGATGCCCTGCATTTTTCTTACATTGAAAGTAGGACTATCTGGCCAGGTAATCAGAGAGTTTATAATAATCACAAATATGCCAGCACACATTAATGTGACCAAATATTGTTCACTGGCAACTGTAATTTAAGAAAAGAAAAAAATTTTAAAAAGGGGAAGAAATAGGAGTATATTCAACTTTTAAAAAAGAATTAAGTTCTGTCATTGTTGGACCTGACAGATGTGCTGGGTGAAATAACTCTGGTCCAGAAAGGTACCTTTAACCTGCATCATTCATCCAGGGGTCAAAAAGTCAAAGCCTAGGGGCAGAAAGTAGCATGGCGGTCACTGGAGGTCAGTGGTAGCAGAGATTGGGAGGGCACTGTCCAATGATGTGCAATTTCCATCAAACAGAAACAGTACAGTGGTGCCTGGGCTCACAAACTTAACTCTCCTTGCAATTCTGTTTGCAAACTGAACTAGATGGGAACCAAATCCAATTTCCCTGTAAGGTCAACATTAAGCCTAACCACTGAATTTGATTCAGTTCTCATCCAATCAGTTTGCAACTAGAATCGAGGGAAGAACTAAGCTTGTAAACCGAGGTACTGTAGAAGATGACTTGGACGCTCTCCTCAAATACAGAACAACTGTTTAAGCATTAGCTAAACAGAGCCCTGTCTCTGTGTACTGGTATGTCAGAGCTGGCTGAGCTGTTTCCTTCTCCCTTCAGTTAGCTCTAAGCAGTGTGTGTAGGGCTGGCTGAGGTAGCAGTGTGTAATCTTTGAAACCAGCTGACAGTTTCCTGTTCCTCACGTGGTGTCTCCCTGTAAATGGTTGAGCACAGCAGAATGGCAGAGCCGAATAGCTCCAGGAATGTCAACTGGGTTTGAGCCTCAAGATGAGGAGCCATGGCTTTCCAGGGCTCAAAACTACATATCAGAAACTGAAGTAACAGCTTCCTAATCATTTAAATGCTACCCCGGTGGAGTTATGCAGATTGGCCCTTCTGCATTCCCTTATCCCTGCATATTGCAGAGGGGCTTACTAGCCTCCCAGCTAAGCCTAGCTCAGAGACTCCCCCAACTCCACCTGCCATTCTCCCTGTCACTCATCCTTGGGCCACTCCCTTCTTCACAAGTTAATAAATTCTGGATGAGGCACCGGGTGAGGCCTTTGTTCCTAGAGTCCTCACCTGGACTGAACTCAGGACCCCTTGGCTGCCAGTAGCTATGAATGTATCTTAGTGTTTTTATTCTCGCCATGGATTACACTGGAGGTGGTAAATTGGAGTTAACTCATAGAGATTCCAGTAATGTTTCAATGGGATCACAGGAATAAACTTCCTGGACCCCAAAGAGAATGGGAAAAGGGATTACAATGTTTGGATTACAATGAGGTACCACTGTAAGTTTAAGATACTTATTGTACAACACAGTGATTATTGTTAAAAACATTTTTTTGTGTTCTTGAGCATTGCTAAGAGAAGGATTTTAAACATTCCAACTGCAGAAAAAGTATGAAAGGAAGTACATATGTTAATTAGTTTTCAACAACACATGCATATTTGAAAACACTATATTGCGCACCATAAATATGGACTGCATTTATTTGTCAGTTTAAAAAGAAGAAAAACCAGAAACATGCCTGCTCAATCTCTCCAGATTTATTGAAGTTTAATTTTTGGACTGTCTGAGGGTTTTCTGATTCACATGGAGATAGATATCCTTAAAATTTAATTTGCAGTTCCACATTCGAAACAATACATTTTACACCATCTTTTATCTTTTCAGATCCTGCAGTTTAATGCCGAAGAGGAGGCCTTTGGCTGGCTGCCGTCCATATATCCTCAACGTAAAAAAATCCAAGATGGCTTGAACCCGTATCTCCGTCTCTATGAAACCAGCGTGGAATTCAGCAACAAGTACAAAGCGTGGACAGAAGGGCCCTACAACAAGGTGAATCCAGACCAAGTAGAGGGGGACGTGGGGAATTATTGGAGAGGACTCTACAAGTTGGAGAAGGCCTTACAAGATTCTCCAAATGCCTTGGCCATGGCCAAGAAGGTCAGATCCAAAGTGGAAGACTTCAAGCAGTACATCCCGCTGATGCAGGTGGTCTGCAACCCCGGCCTGCGCCCCCGGCACTGGGAGGCCATGTCCGCCATCGTGGGCTACCCGCTGCAGCCGGCCGAGGACTCCACCGTCTTCTCCTTCATAGACCTCAACCTGGAGCCCTACCTCGACAGGTTCGAGGCCATCAGCGAGTCTGCCAGCAAGGAATACTCTCTGGAGAAGGCCATGGAGAAGATGATAGCGGAGTGGGACGCCATGGAGTTCGTCATCCTCCCCTACAGGGAGAGTGGGACTTACATTCTGTCGGCAGTGGATGAAATCCAGATGCTGCTGGATGACCACATTGTCAAAACGCAGACGATGCGGGGATCGCCCTTCATCAAGCCCTACGAGAAGCAGATAAGGTAAAGCGGGGCTCGAGCTCGCAGCCTGAGTTCCTGACCGTGAGGTTTCCTCTGAGGGCTGGTTGTGCACCTCGCGCTTACCGCGGGAGGCGGCTCACAGCCAGCAGTGGTCACTTTCACTACTTTTGAAAGATTACACATCCTTTACTACCGGGTATTCCTGCTTGTTACCTGAGATCCGATGTCATTGTGTCATCCCCCTAAATTCTAAAACTAGAGGTAAAAATGATATTTTCCAAATTTGCATTCAGAGATGTTCCCTAAACATCTGTGCTAATTTCTGCTTAAATGCACGAACGGTACCTAATAGGTGCCAGGGAGCAAAATCGTCACCTTCACCTGCACTTTGAAGCAGCAGACACCGACCTTTATGTTACGTTTTTACCCTGTCAGCGTTTTCAGCTTTGTGGTAAGCAGTTTGTATTTTACCTTTAAAAAAAAAAAAAAAGGCTACTGTACTGGCTTCTGTGGGAATCTGCGTGGGATGGGGAAGCTGACTGCGCGGCTGTCTCTGCCTCTGTTTCTACCAAGAGGACTCCCAGAACGCGCGCTGCTGGGACCGGCTGGTTCTCCGCGCTTGGGGTCCTGCCTCCTGCCACCCTGCAGCAGTATGCAAGTCAGCAGGAGATGCACTCCCCTGCAGGGGGCTTTCCTAGGTGCTTCTGTATATTTCTTACGGCCTGTGCATAGTGGGAAATTTCCTGCACCAGACAGGGCTTAGAGTAATGGAGAAGAACACTGGAAGAAAGCAGGTGCTCATGTCTGAAAAAAATTGTTTTAAAAAGCCATCTGAAAGTGCTTGGGAACTTAAAAAGCCATTTACATGTTTTGCTTTTACAAATACAAAATATCAGGTCACCACATGTAGTTAAGTAATGTGTTACTATGCCCATAAAGCTATGCGGCCTCGAAGGCCGGTTTCTGCTAGGTCTGGTTCCTGTCTCTGTGGCTGGCCCATCTCTGAAAGCCCAGTGATTACAGTTGTGCGGCTTCAAATCTTGGCTCTCGTGCATCAACAGGGTGCCCCAAGCCTGGTGCTCCCCTCTCTGTACCTTCGTCTCTTTACTGCCGAGTAGATGCTGTCAGGATGGAGAAAACACAGACAGGGACCCAAGAGCTGCGCCTGTTAATATATTAGCTTATGGTGTAATTATAATATTTACTCTTAGGGAAATGAAGCTGTTATTTGTTCTCCATGTTTAGAAATGAACTCCTAACCCACTGTAATGTTAAATATGCTCCCTTCTCATGAATGCCATGCCAGTAGATTCAGGCGTATGTTGCACCCATAAGTTACTTTCTACAGGTTGAAATAGTTCATCCTAGAAATAAACTTTCTTATGCACCCACATTAAAGGGAAAGAAAAAGAATGTTAAAGGGAATGAAAGAGTCTCTAATGTAACCACATTTCCTGTCCCTGAGAGCCTTTTACTGTCCCCAGCATGTCCCAGGAGAATCTGTAACTTTTTGGAAAGGTGTGCTCTTCTGATGCCTGTGCAGCGCGGCCGTGTAGAGGTGTGTCTTCACCCCGTGTGTGTATGTGTGTGTGTGTGTGTGTGTGTATGTACCTATGTGCGTGCTGGTGTTACTAGTTTAGAAACAGACTTGTTGGGCACATCACATGATTCCTCCTCGAGGACACAGCGGGTGGAGACTGCAGTGGCCACCGTGCACTCTGATGGGTTTTGTCCTCTGAAAGTGGCCCTGCTGCTGACCTCGGCCCCTGTGTCCTCACAGGGAGTGGGAGGGCAGGCTGCTGCTGCTGCAGGAGATCCTGGACGAGTGGCTCAAGGTCCAGGCCACGTGGCTGTACCTGGAGCCCATCTTCAGCTCCCCCGACATCATGTCGCAGATGCCCGAGGAAGGCCGGCGCTTCACGACAGTGGATAAGACGTGGCGGGACCTAATGAAGAACGTCCAGCAGGTGGGTGAGAAGCTCTGTCTGTGCGTGTGGTCATCCAGTCCAAGTGACCTGGCCTGTTTTCAAAACTCCACATAAGCCAGCGATGTTTCCTGTAAGCTGCTCTCTTTCTCCCTCGATGTTCACCCCCAGCTATTATTTTACAGTTCCAGCAGCTGAGTCTGGAAAAGCCAAAGTGGATATGTTGTCCTGACCAGTCCTGGAGGTGCGGCTCGGATTGTTATTTAAAGCCCTGTGGTTCTGTCTGGGGCTCTTAATCCATCCCTGCTCTGGTGGGAATACCAGCAGCTTTCTCTGTGAGGGTCCCTAAAAAATGGATTGCAAAGAGAAGTGGGGTGCAGATGAACTGCAGAGAGTCCAACAAATGCAAACAGAATACACTGAGGAAATGAAAGCAGATGCAGTTCTGTGGAGCGAGGATGATCATTTAAGCTCAGGAGGAATTTAATAAAAACCAGTAACAGAGAACAGGATACCTTTGCCTAATTCAGAAGGCGTTTATTTACCACCTCTGAAGCATGGTTTGTGCAATAAAAACACAGGAAAAATAGTTATTATATCTTATATAAATGTAAACTTCTGCAGGGGTATTTTGATCAAGCACAGGATTATAAAATAGGATGAGTGCTGTCCTAAAAATCTTCAGACTTAAAAATAGGCATATTTATTATTTAAAGTTTGAAAGTTGTAAGTGTATTCCCAAAGGCTGATACTTTATTGATTTGTTTGGAAAATATTCAGAAAACTGACATAGAGTTATTTTGCTTAATGAGCACCACATTTTATATATTTATATTTGCTTAGTAAGCACCACATTTTATATACTAAAGCTCAAACAAATCTGTATGAAACAAACTTTTATAAAATTAAGCTCTGGAATTTATTCCATATCTTGAGACTTTTTGTGAGTCACTTTGTAGCATTTCTAATCTCTAATCATCTCTAATCACTTTATTTTAAATTCCATCTGCTATCCATAGAGTGTACCTTCCCACAATGTAACACTCTTATAACACGCACACATTCTCATTGAGAAAGGGTTAAGGAGAATTTCCGTTCATCTCAAAATAAAAGGTAGACTCTTGAATTCTTCTAGTTAGTATAATTTTTAAAGTTAAAAATTCTATTTTTAATAGGTTGTCCAGGACAGCCTCTTAAAATGCCGCACTGTGAGGAGTTTTGAAAGTATTTCAGTGCCTAGGAAGGGTCAGCTGTCCTTGAACCAGTAAATAAGAGGGCACATTTTTGATCCTATAGAACTGCTGAATTAAAAGTCAGCCAGTAAGCAAAGAATAATTCTTTCCCTTGTTTCCAAATAATCATGGTTTTTTTGTGTGTCTTTGGTGACACTTACTTTGGTTGTGAGTCTCAGTTATCCTTCAAATAACCGCATTTTCTTTTTCAGTGTGTTCCCATTCGGGCACCATTTGACCGCACTCTCCAACACTCCTGTATTTTCCCGGAAATCTAATGAGATGATCTGTGTAGCAGAGGCTGGAAGACTAATTGCTTCCTACAAGGCTTACCACTTTCATTCTGGGACTTGCCTGACAAACGTTCTTTAAATGGTGTACTTTGCCAAGCAAAAAGCCTCAGAGGTTAAAGATAAAACCTGATTGCTGTGATTAGTGTATTAGGTTTGACTGAGGTGTCTCAGCACCTTGGGGTATAAACATGACATAATGTTTGAGCTTTGTCCTGTATGTTCGGCCAAAGCTCCTTTCCTACTGGAAGAAGCTTCCTTCTTGGCCCTGTGGGTTAGCAGGGTAGTTTGGAAGACTCAGCTTTTTCATGACCTCAAGCTCCCTCTCTGCTGTGAGCTTCTCCCTCCCCATGAAGGAGGTGACCCCAAGGCTCCTGTGTTAGTGTCATGTGGGAACAGCTGTCTCTGCTCGTTCTCCTTCTGGTGGGGTCATCTAGGATTGGGATAAGGACCAGATGGAAAAAAGGAGGAAGAGGGGAGGAGGTTAGGACAGGAAGAGGGGGAAAGAGGGAAAGAGAGACAATGATTCTGCAGAGTGGGCTGGCTGTTTTTCCGGTCGGGGCCAGGAGAAACAAACCTCCTAACTGAGGCCACACAGGCCTGTGTGTTCCTGGTGTCCTGTGTGTTCCTGTCTAGCTGCTGGACCATTTTGTTGGTGTTGTGTTTCAGGCACTGTGTGAGGCAATCTATCTACCTTTTCTTTTCTTTTTGAAAAGTGCATTAAATTTATAAAGACATAAAATTGTGTCACTGGGATACCATGTGATGTGCCAGTACTGGATCCACTGTGTAGTGCTGAAATCAGGCTAACTGCATCTGTCTACTGCAACGCTTGTAATTTTAGGATAAAAACTTCTAAAACCCTTTCTTCCAGCCCTCTGAAACAGGCAGTACATTATTATCTGTGATCACCTCACTGTTCAGTAGCACCCCAAGACTTCTGGCTCTTATCTGTCACTCAGCTTGGGTTGATCAACCTCTCCACATTTCACCTCTGAGGATGCTGGGTAATGGCCTATGGTTCACCTGCACCATTTTCACTGTCCGTTCATCAGCTGGTGACCACGCAGATATTTCCATTTCCTGGCTGTTGTGAATAGGACCTCAGTGCCCATAGACTTCTCCTCCATCCGCTTCATTTTTGTGGGTGTACCCCCAGCAGTGGGGTTGCTGGATTACATGCTGGTTCTTCTTTAATTGTTTGAGGAAACTTCATACTGTTTTCCATAGTGGCTGTATTAATTCGCATTCCCAACAGCAGTGAGCAGAGGTCTCTGAGTCTGTGTACTTATTCTTACAGTGACCTATATCTTACATCTGCTCATTTTTTCTACTTACTCGACATCTCTCTCTTGGTTTGAAGATTTCTCTTCAGCATTTCTTGTAGGCCTGGCTTGGTCCCTCAGCTTGTGTTTGTCTGGGAATGGCTTTCTCCTTCATTTCTGAAGGATAGCTTTCCTGGGGACAGCATTTAGGGTGGCAGTTTTTTCATTAGTATGGTGAGACTCTCATGCTGCTCTCTTCTGCCTAGAAGGTTTCTGTAGAGAAGTCAGCTGCTGGGAGCACTGGACCACTCTGGTGGCCATTTTGTTTCTCTTGCTGCCTTGCGAATCCTTTCTTTGTCTCTCATTTTTGAAAGCTTCATTATAATATGTTATTACACTTTGGATCTGGGATGTCCCCAAAGGCTCAGGTGCTCAAGGCTTGGCCTCCACTGGTGGCTTTTGGGAGGTTGTGGAAATTTGGGACGGTAGACCCTTCTTGGAAGAAGCAGGACATTGGGCACATGCTTCTGATGGGGATGTCTCTGTGTCTGTCTCTGTCTCTCTGTCTCAGTCTATCTCTGCCACTATGATTTTGTGCCTTACCACAGGCAGATAGCAATGGAGGCAGCTAACCATGTACAATGCCCTTGAAACTTTGAGCCAAAATCTTTTCTTCTGTAAGGCAATTCATCACAAGAATGTAAAGATGACTGACACAGATGTCTTAGGGTAAACTTCGTTAAGTTCAACCTGGCTCTGACCTTTGAACCTCCTGCACCTGAATATTTGTATCCTCAAGGTTTAGGAAGGTTTTTGTTATTATTTCTTTGAATAAGCTTTCTAACCCTTTGGTCCTCTTGAAACCCTGTAACCTAGATGTTTGATCTTTTAAAATTGTCCCTAGGTTCTCCTAGGCTCTCTTTAATACTCTTCATTATTTTTCTTTTCTGAGTATGTACTTTGAAACACCCTGACTTCAGGATTCTGAATTATTTCTCTGTTTGATCTCTCTTGCCCTTAATGCTTTCTATTGTGCTTTAAATTTTGCTTAGTGAATTTTCAAGTCAGGGATTTCCCTTTGAGTTGTTTAAAGTTACTGCCATCTGTTTGCTAATGTCCTCTGTTAGGTGTTGAATAATTTTTCTGTTTTCTTCAATGTCACTGAGTTTTCTTAAAACGCTCCTGTTAAATTCTCTACCTGAGAGCTGTGTCCTACTGATTACCATGCGCTTTGTTGCTGGCATCTTACTACAGGCTGTAGGTGAGGTCAAGTTTTCCTGGAAGTTCCTGGGCCTTGAAGGATTTATTCGGTCCTCCTGATCGGGCTTTGTTTGCATCTGTCTTTCCAGGACTTCTACACAGACTGCTGACTTTCTCTGAACCTGTAGTGACTTCCCTATTACCTCAGGGTGACTCTCAGGCACCTGCTGCTGGTTTCCAGGAGCGCCTGCTGTCACTGTTTCGGTACTAGAGAGTGAGCCAAGCCCAGACTGGTCCCCAATCTGCAGCTGGTGCGCTCTTCTGAGTGAATCAGGAGAGTGCCTGGATGGAGTATGGGGATTCCTCCTCATGTTTCTCACCAGGCACCCATTCACAGTCACCGGCCTGAGATCAGGCAGGAGTCCTCCTGGTTCTGGGCAGAATCACCAGCCTCGCAGCAGCCTGTGTCACACTCTGAGCTCAAAGCCCACAGTGGGGGCTGCCTACTGCTCAGCCAGGACCCCCGTAACCAGCCACAGGTGCTGCTGGCTGGAGAAGACTCTGGTAGACTAGCACTGCGCATCTTTCCTGGCCGTCTGGCTTTTCAGAGGATTCACCTGAGGCCGGGCCCAAAGAGGGCTGTTTCGTCCTGCCCTTTGATGAGTTTCGGCAGGGGAAGTGCACAGGTTGGTGCAGTGTGGACAGGTAAAGGTGCTTACCGTGAGCAGCTGCTTTAGGTACAGTTGCTCACTTTCAGAAGGGCTGCGTCTTCAAAATGGCCTCCCTACGGTAGTTTCTGCCTCATGTCTCTGGCGTGGGCATTGGTGGTACCCAGCATGCAGTGCAAAAGCAACTGACTTTAACTTTTGCTTTTGGTCTTTGAAATGAATAGCCTGTTTTATGCGCCAAGTCTTCAGTGGGCCAGCAGCTCTGCAATAGGTCTGTAAAGCAGGAGATTTGAAATACAAAGACTGTGAGATGGACTGACTTGGTGCAAAGGCACTGGAGAATTGAAAGAAATAGCATAATTCAAAATGTTAAACTCCCTTCTTACA